GAGGACACTAACATGGGCAACTCTCCAGGAATATAAAGGTAAAAAGGTAAAGGACCCCTGGACGGTTAAGTCCAGTCAAAGGTGACTATGGGGTTGCAGCGCTCATCTTGTTTTTAGTCTGGGAGAGCTGGCATTTGTCCACAGACAGCTTTCCAGGTCATGTGGCCAGCATGCTTCTGGCACAACGGGACACTGTGACGGAAACCAGAGCGTGCGGAAATGGCGTTTACCTTCCCTCCACAGCGGTACCTATTTATCTACTTGCACTGCTATGCTTTCAAACTGCTAGGTTAGCAGGAGCTGGGACAGAACAACAGGAGCTCACCCTGATGCGGGGATTTGAACTGCCGATCTTCGGATTGGCAAGCCCAAGAGGCTCAGTGGTTTAGACCACAGCGAATGTCTTGTGTTGGAAATCATGACATCAGAAAATGCAGGGCTGGTGTAGGCTACAGTTGAACTTACCACATCCATCACATTATTAATGCAACTGAAACACACACTGCAAGGAGCAACAGAAGACCTACTGCTTAAAATGAACTGAAATGACTTGCTTACTTCATGACTACTCTTTTTATTTTCTTACAAAATTGCTGCTTTTATCCATTTTTCAGGTTTATGATTGAGAAGCCAAGTACAAATACTACTCTCAAAATTCCCAATTTATGCTACCCATTTGCTTCACTGATCATCAAACTTGTATTAGTTAATTTTTCACAGTATGAATATTACAAACCTTGAAGTGGATTGTAAATCCTGGCTGCACTGAATATTTTAGAATGACCAGACAAATGGCTGTGGCTATGGAGTGCACAGTAGCATTTTATTGATGTCTGACATGCAACAATAACTGGAGTGAATCTCTAAAATTAAGATTACAATTTTGATCAAATAAAACATGTTCAAGTTTACAAAAGCAATCAAAATGATAGTTCATGCATTTCATCATTCTATATATACAGGTGTCACATAAGATGTGACTTTAATTTTGGAAGGGGAAAATGCGTACAAATGATTAGTCATTGCACAAAAACAAAGGAACCCTCTTTTATCCAAGACATGCGCATATCTTTTGTATAGTTGGTGTAAGTCTCTAGTACAGCATCTTATTGTACTAAATACAGTTGCAACCAATTCAGAACAGAATGTGCTGTATTTGCTGCAGATTCCCAGAACATAGAAATGCTCTTCAGACATTGCTCATGTGAAAAGGGACATGTACAAATGGTTGTGGGGATATGCATGTGGTCCTACCCCACTGCTGCACTACTTGTGGCTGCACACAAATTTATCTGTACTGTAAGCACTGGAAGAGCAGTTTGTAAAGTCACACGAGGAGCCGCCATGAATAAAGAAGGTTCTCTGCTGCAGATGTCACAGCTGAGCTCCCGATAGCAGGTAACAACTGAAGAGGCCTATATTCTACAGAACTAAGTGATGGCCAACAATGCTGCTGGCAGAGGTACCTTAATTGATAGATATCAATCTGAGAATCTTCACCAAAGAAGTCAATCGGTTAAAGTGCTGTAACTGTTGCATAATACTGCTGGTAATGATACCTAGATTTAGAGTCAATTTGGACACGCATAAATGGGGATGTCAGAATGCAAGTTATACTGCTGCACAACCTGCTTCTCCTGTTCAGCCCTTAGAACGTCTGGGAGAAAAATATTATAACAGAACCCACAACAGACTTGTTCATCTATCAGTGCTGTAATCCTTCATTAGTTGCTTGGGAGCAAAGAATTTTGACACACAACAAACATATTTTACATACATTTTCAATTCTTCCACTTCTACAGCTTTTAAGGACACACGGAGCTCAGCTTGTGGGGAAACCCTTAGCCTAAGTTACATTTTTAAAAAATATATAGTTGTAAATAATATTCCACTGCAGCAGTAAATATATTTTAAGACATACGTTTCCTTTTTAATTGAGCGAAGAGCTTGGGGTGGGAGGTGGGAATAACGGTTCGTTAAAATGCTTAATTGAGGATATGACCCCATTCATAAAGCGCTCAAATACAAGGCAAGGTTTTAACAGCTGGAACATTACAACTAGCCCTTGATTTACAGCAAACAACAATAGATGTAGCTAAGCATAATCTATGAATAAGTCTACATTCATTGGAAAGTGGCAATCAAGTTCAACATAAACATTTAAAATACAGCAGTGAAAAGTAATATAACACTAAACATTCTTTCTGGTAGTAACATTTCACTTGATAGCTACAACCCTAAGAATGGCCTTCATATACTTTACAAGAAATGCTAGCCATTCTGCTCTTAGGCGGTGCAATTTGAAAAGGAATAAAGTACGATTGCCAAAAAGCCCTTCATGCTAATTTTTCACAAGACAGAGAATAGAAGGATGGGTAAAATGTGGGCATTCCCAATACTGTCCATCTTGGTGATTAACTGTACGTGGCATGAAAGGGTGGGTTTTGAAGCTCCTAAAACAACTCAGCAGAAATTGCTTAATGCTACAGGTAAATAAAAAAAATATTGGGGGGCAGTGTTTTATTATAAAATGAATATTGTATATAGTTTAAATAGAAACATAGAATCTGAAGACATACAAATACTGGAGTGTGCTCTCACCAAAATTATTCTCAGGCCAGAGTTGCCTTGCGAATTGCCGAGGTGGTACAGGAACAACCACCCTCCTTTCCTAAGCAGCCTCTACTAATTTCTGCTTATAGCTGAACCTTGGTCATTGCTCCTAGAAGCATATATTTGTACAGGGCAGTCCTGTGCCTATCCTATGATTTCTGTGACAGTGTAGCTCAGAATTGCTCAGAGAATATGGATCAGTATATTTCCAGTAGTTACTTTTTGTCACAAATTATAAAGAGGTTTTGTTGCTTTAAACACTGTATTTTTCTGTTTTAACTATAATAATTTTACGTATGTATTTGCCATTGTTTCTGATATTTACACTTAAATATTGGAAATACAAAGGTGCTTGAATTCACTTATAGATCAGATTGAAAGCACACAACAACCCTTCACAAAATGTTAACTAAAGTTCTTGTTAACTCTGTGTATGAGAAAAGCTCTATAGTCAAACAGTTTGATCTTTCACATTAAGATGCTAACAGAAGTAATTCGAAAGGTGATTGAAAATAAAAGAGTTAATAATTAACATGAGTTCAGAATTCTGTGGTTTATACTCTTCTGTTGTAGCTGAGGAATGCTCATTGAGGACACATAATGAACTGGCATATAATGGAAGTTCAAGTTAAACATCAGTGGCCCTGTAATTTCCAGTATCATGGATGGTAGTCATTAAGTATGGTACTTTGGATCTGCAAGCTTTAAGTGAGCAATGGAATTTTAAAATACATTCTGGTATAACTGATGATGGTAAAGCATCTGTTTCAAACACAGTAGTTAACCTTAAAACACAAAAATAGCTTAGAATATGTATCCTTTGGTATTCATCTAAAGTGAAAGTACGAAGACTTACAGAAAAAGATCTTCATGTTCTTCTAAGACACAGTACTAACATTTAGAGTTACTCATGTATTAGGAATGACAAAATTGCTAAAAGAAAGTGGAAATGAATCTGTCCATGGCACAATATTCTGCTTAATGTGGCTGAGGATATTCAATAATAGAAACACTCCCCTTTCCATCATCTTCTGATGACAGCTCTGCCCTATTATTTTAGTTAAAAGAATGTTTTGATTAAGGAAAGGTTCTTGACATGGTAACAACAAAAAATTAGAGCTATTTCAATTAGTATTCTTTATCAGTCTAAAAGGATGGGGAAACCCTCTTTATGTCCATGCTTGAGAAATGTAGATTACAAGCAAGAAAAATGAAAATCTGAAAAGAAAAAGAAATTCTCTTCTTAACACTTCATGTACCTTATATTTAAACCTATATTTCACTTCATGTTAGTAAACGTTCTGTTTAAAGTTTTGTATAAAGCAAATTAAAACAACGCAAAGTTTTTATTACTGGTATAGCAAACTATCTTTCTCTTCATGGCAGTGCTTCCCATTAGAATCGCATTTTGCCATTTTGCAACAGGCACACAACACTATACACAAATGTCACCTAGTCAAGAGACATGCTTAACCAAATACATCTGTCACTCGTAAGTGAAGGTCAATATTTGATTTGGACACAGAATATAGTACTTAAGAAAAGAACAGCAACTCCCCATTTTAAAAAGCACTCTCCTAGATTGGGAAACACAAGCGAGCACACAATTTCCATTTCCCAAATTTGGCAAAAGCCAAGGAAATATGTAAATGCTGACGTGTCCATCAGCATTATCTCCCATAATTCATATAAACTTTCAGAAAATGAGGTATTCATTCATCACTTTCCTATGCTTTCTTTACTTAATGCATATTTGCATGCCATATCCTCATATTTAGTATCCATACCAATTTTAATAAATTGCTACTTGCCATTTCAAAAGCCCCTGACTCTTATTGGGCACAAATGCTTCAAATACATTCCATTCAGGAACCACTGCTGTCAGCATCCTTATGTAAAAACACATGACACTTCCTCACTGATAATCCTCTACTGGTGATTCCTGGTCATAAAATGCTAACAATAAAATCTCACATCTTCAGATTTTCCTTCGTGTTTAGAGCTGCAAAACACATCCCGCTTGTGCGCATACACATAGACAGCATGCTGTAACATCAAAGAGACTGATTGAAGTGCAAAATAAATATTCAAGTATGTGTCTGGGAGCTCATAGTGGTATACAAGTTACTACAAAATTTAAAAACAAAACAAAAGACGCCTGCATGTAAATGTTAAGAGGAATGTTTCATAGCAAATGGAATTTAAATCTTAATTTTCCAAAAAGCGTTATGCAGATCGTGTGGGTTGCAAGTTTTGACAATACTAATCAGTATTTGGAGTAAAACTCTCTCAGGATGTAAAGAGTTAAAAAGGGAAGCGAAGATATCAAAACACTGAAATAAGCAGTCCACCTTATTGAAGAAATACCATCGGGTGTTGGCACTGGCTTAGCTTTTTGAAAATTTGCCAGCTCGCCGAGAAGGTTCATATGGCACTCGGAGAATACTAGGAGTTTCTTCCATTACTCGCACAAGAAGATTGTCAATATAGTCCTCAAGTTCACGAATATGGGTGTCCTTCTTCTTCAGTTGTTCTTTATGTTTCACTAATTCTTGTAAGACCTCTTCATGTGTAAGGCTGCGATACCCTGCAGCAGCATCAAAAGGATTTGCATCCTAGAATAAAGAGAGGTGGGTTTTTTTTGAGGGGGGACATTACAGAACTTCAAACATCACATTAATACCAGTACTAGTACTAGAAGAGAGGATGTGAATCGGAAACCACATATAGCAACTCCTTCCCCCTTTGACATAGTATCTGACTAGCACAATAACAGCCTATTTACATAAAGAGGACCAGAGAAAAGCAGCTGTGGTACCTTGAACAAGCTGTTTATCTGGTTCAGCTAATGCATAGCTAGATGATTCATCAAGTCTACGTATACCTTGTAAATGCATTTTTACAATGCTCAAAATTCATGCTGGCTTAAAAGTGTAATATGCCAAATTCTTTAAAAATGTGAAAAGTATAGTCAAATCTTGTCTAACCTAACTCCTCCACCCAGTCATTAAATACTGGACTGTAATACATCAGGCACTGATGCTGTGTAACTCTCATCTTCATGGAACATGAGGATAACACCCAGTGGGTCACAAACTTCATGAATTAGTGAGCAGTTTGCTGTAACAGAATCCCAGATTCTTAATACCTTACGAATCATTATACAAAGAAATGTTGAAAGAGCACCAGACTATAGGAATACTGTCTCACTAAAGTACATATCCTTTGCACCAAATGGACTGATGTGGACTAAGGACTTGATTCTTAGGCTACACCTACCATGTGGAGCCACTGGAAATATTTCTACTGGGTGGCCAGATCATCTGAGAATATTCACTACAGGGATCTCCCACTGTGTGTAGTACAAGCTTTACATGGTACTTTGTAACCCATGCTAGCATGAAAACTACATTTAAGTTATTTTAAGTGTTTGCCCGGTGTACTTCTGTGTGGTTTAATTGGAATAGGCTCTGATAGCCAGGACAACAACTGACAACACCACCTGTGCCAGCACCCCCTGTGCTGTTTTTCAGTCAGTTCGCCATTACACAGGAAAACATGGGTTGAACCACTGGTTGACAATTCTCCTTTTTCTAACAACAATTATGTTATATAATGAAGTCAGTCTCAAACAAGATCATTTTTGATTTGTGAGCATTTGCTTACATATAGTCTAATTCATTAAGCAATCACAGTCCCAGGAGAATATTGCAACCATCAGAATGATTTTGCTGATTAATTCTGGCAGCACTTCAGTAAGAAAGGAAAGAGAAGTTGCAGCAAAATATAAATACTGAGGAGTTTATAGTACACCAACTTTTCAAGCTCTCACTGTTGGTCTGTAGCAAAAGCAGCAGCAGATTGTAATTGAGATCTAAGGGAAACAGGCCTCCATCTGGGACCCACAGTACAGCATTATTAAGTGAACATTTATCTGGAACATTTCCCACTTTCCTGGCAGAAGATGCTGCAAGGGAACCAGTCTATATTTGAAAAGAATCCAAAACGATTAAAATGGATAATAGATGTGGTTCAAAAACATTTCTTGGTTGCTTCCCAACAGTGAGATAATTCTTTTGCACTCTTGCTTTTTAATGAATCCAGGCTCTATTTTAAGACTTGTCTGCAGCTATCACTTTCTATATTTAAATAGCAAGTTATGGATAATTCACATATGCACATACCACTGATTGCTCAAAAACCTGTGGCTCAATGAGTGAACTGCCTCCTTTGAGAAGTATTGTATTTGTGGTTATGTCTGGTATGGTGATTTGTCTGCGATGACCATTTCACAAGTGCAAGTCATCATTTGAAGTTGCAAGTCATCAAATCACAAATATGTATAAAAATACTGCTGCTTTTTGAAAGCAGTTATATTAGTATCAGGAACACAAAACAGGGTTTTTTATTTAAAAGTATAACAGCCAGACTCATCAGCACTGTCAGACAAACAGAACTGGACAACGGTTCTACAAAAATTTGCCAGATTCCGTAGTTGCATCCCAAGCACTTTGGCAGATGGATGGCCAATGAAGAACCGACAACTGAAAAATCCCTGTTTAGTTGAAAGCTTGCTGAACCTTCTGAGTCCCAGCTAACCCCAATATCTCACCCCAATATATTTATCCATTGGCCTCTTTAAATCTGACCCCTTGCCCTAATCCTATGTGTGGAAGAGAGAGAGAACACATTCCTCTGTGCTCCATTTTTCCTTTCTTTTGGTAGCGCCTCTCTGCCACTTTACATGCCAAGCCTCGTCTACCATGGGAATGTGGAGAACGGAATTGTGTAAACCAAGGCATATCCAAAAACTACTGTTTGAACTGCCTTTCTTTCACAACTCAACCTTTAGGAATGCAGCCAAGGATTTATGTAGCTTCTTAAGCCTTGTTTGTCTAATTACCCATTCTAGTCCTCCTGTGTCTGTGATACAAAAATCAGAGCACTTGGATTTAAGCAGATTTCAATGGGACTAAATAGTTTATGTATCAGGCTGCTTATGTTCTTTTTCCAGACTGCTTAATGTGTGTTGCAACGTTTGAACAAAGTAAGAAATATACTACAATTATGAGACAGCAGTTAGCTGGAAAGGAAGACCTATTAAAACTGACCTACAGGGCTGCTGATGTTGCATACAGAATTCTGAGCTAGCCTACAAAATAAAATTAGAAACTCACAACACTGATGGGCAAATTTAATTGATTTACAGTCCAATCCTATACATGTCTACTGGGAATGATTCTCCTCTGAGTTCAGGAACTTACCCCCAGGTAAGCATGTAGTGAAGCTGTGGGTGGGTGGAAGTTTTTTAGGGGGAAATTGAAATATATGGAGTGCTTGTATCCCTATCAAATCTATATATGTTTCACACTATGATGACACACATAATTCATAACTCAACATATACAATTGTACAATCTGATAAATTTATTATATTTTCAGTGTGATTCTATGGATGTTTATTCAGACTCACTCAGTTTAGTGGGGCTTAGCACTGCAGCCTTAGAAGTAAGCATAATGAAATGTCAGAGGCTGTGCTAAAAATTGTGGGGGTGGATCCCTGGAAAAGGCAAACATTCTCCCCACCCCAAATAATAACTTGGATAATAGAGTAGAATGGAAGTATTTTAAAAAATATAAAATTAGTGTGTAAAATATAGTTGATTAGAAAAGGCAAGTTAGTGAGCCAGTATAAATGTTACAAGTTAAAACATCAGTCAATGGTTAAATTTTTGAGCTCTTGATAATAACTGTCAGCAGAAGAATTTTTGACTGGTTTACACTTCAGCCAACTTTCCTTTATCAATTACCACAATTAAGAATATTTACATCTCGAGGTAATATCTTGTAGATTAATGTGTTTAAGAGAAACTTACAATGTGGTAAGTTTTTGTCTTAAGGATTTGAATTCAAAGCCAATTCAGTATATTCATGTATAGTTATTTTATCTCTGCATTACAAATGAAGGGTTTGGATAATCAAAAATGTTTGTGTGTATGTACACAAACTAAAACTAAAACCATGTTTGTAAACAAAAGTAAGAAAATCTGACGTACTTCTAACCTACAAAAAAGCTAGTAGCAGTCATATAGTTTTTAATTATATAATATATCCCAGATGGTTCTGTGTGATGTATCTTTAAGATGTTAATTTATAAAACAGACAGTATGATTATTTCAAGTAAAATTGTCATATGCATGCAAGTGCCATAGCTATTGAAAACTACAATTTTAGTACTTCAAGTAAAATGAAAACATGTGTTCAACGACTGAGGACAAATCTTGCTGGAAAATAAATATTCTGCTGTAACTTCCTAAACAACAACAACAAAGAATCCCACAGACTATGATACCTATCATTCAGGAAAGAGCAAGGAAAAGGGTAAGATTTCAAATGTGTAAACATGTGGAAAAAGCCTTGATAACCAAATATTATTTGGGTACAAACTGATAGTCACAACTGCTGGGAAACGGAGAGATAAAATGACAACTTGGCATACTTTGATCATCTGTTTATTGTTCTAATGAGGAACTTTGCTTTGGGAATATCATCTAAACCACTTTCTCATCTCTTGTCCTACTTGCTTCATCTCCCTTTCAGTTCCTAATTAGGCTTTAAAGAGCTCTTGCTGCCCTTTCAACTGGCTATTGCTCCTGTTTAAACACTGTTCATTCAAAGACAGGTGTTGGCATCACCAGAGCACAAGGCATATAAACTTAATTACCAAACACCACTTCCAAGGGAATAAAAGAAATAATTCATTGGAGGAACGTCATTTAAATTACTTCAAACTACTTACAGAATAATCTTACAACATTTGAATTTTTACAATAGTGGTGTTTCAAACTTACTATATAAAAACATACTCTAACTGTATTTTGCCCAAAATGAACTGGGCATCAGCATTGCAAGTAACAAAGGTTAGCTCATTCCTAGAGAGGAACAAGTCCAAAACTGGATCATTTTATCACCTTTAATTTCTCTAAGGAAAACTAATTGCTTTCTTTAAAAAAAATCGTTCGCTAGCAATTTATTGCATAATGTTGGCTGTTATCATTAAAATACATAGAAGCCAATTAAGCATTTTCCAGACAATATACTGAAAACCAACTCTAAGGCTGCAATCCTACACACACCTAATGGTAGTTAAGTGTAAGCCACAAATGAATTCAGTGAGTGATATTAGTCATACTCAGAGTAGACCCATTTTAAATAATTGATTTCAATAGATATACATTGTGTGTGACTAATGTTGGATATTATATATATATATATATATATATATATATATATGTAAGATATGCCTATGGACTTACGTTATGACTAAATTTCACTAGAACGCACCCCAAAACAAGTTAAAACATTTTTAATAAAAATATTACCTAACTCATAGAATAGGCTTGAGCACTAGTATATTTCTAAAGCAATGGGAAGGTTTTTGTTTTGTTTTGTTTTGTTTTGTTTTTATTCTCACCACATTAGCTATTCTCCTGAATTTTCAGAGTCAGCTGAATATTCCAAACAAAAACAGATTACATTTTGTGAGCATTTTTAATCATCATGAGAGTTCATTTGTTATTTGTATTAGCAATCTTGATATATTTACTAATCAACTTAGCACACTCACTTTGTTAAATCCTCCTAAAACATCTCATAAAGATTCATAGGATTTGGAATTGTGAAAGACTAGTTGAGTTCATTGTCTTCCAGTAAATCTGTTCCTTAAGAGTGTGTATTCCACTGAGCAGACTGAATAAAGACTGAATAAAGACTATTGCTGCAGCTAATTTATTAACCATAACTCCATTATGGTACTGCATGCTGACTGCTCTGGTTGTCTCAATTAACATGACTAAGAGACTAGAACGACTTCCCTGCAAGGAAAAGCTGAAGAAGAGATGAGGCTGTCCATGCTAGAAAAGGGAAGAGCTAGATGTGGGAGGGACATGGTAACTGCTCGTAAAATTATGAAGGATTTTATTTTTCTTTCATGTAAGGAATGCTCACCTGCTAAGAGGGGAAGTGGGGTTATGTTGGTGAGCACACCAGCAAACCAGTCAAATGCACTGCCAGCTCCATGTTAAGCAAGTATGAGAAGAATCCCTACATGAATTCCAAGAGACATGTGTACAATTCCTCTACATAAAGCTGGATCCTAGGTCAGCCATGATTCCACCCCCCACCTCACATGAGGAGGAGCTCTACTCATGTATGTCAGAATAAAAGGAGACAGCTGGTGGTGGTGGTGGTGGTGTGTGTGTGTGTGTAGCCAGTGCAGCAAATTGATGCTCCATTTGCTAGAGCTCTTCATAACAACCACAGAACTAAATAAAGATCACCACATTACACTGATTGGCAGCCAGTTTAGGACAGACAAAATAATATAATATAAATAAATATGCCATTATAATAATCTACTTATGTAGATCTATGGTGTGATCACACTTGAAAACTGTGTTCAGTTCTAGCAGCTGCATTAAAAAAGATGTAGAGTTGCAAAGGTTGTATGGAGCAAGACAAACCAAGAGACAGTATGCCTTTGAATGCCAGTTGCTGGGACTCATGAACAGGAGTGCGCTATTGTGCTAATGTCCTTTTTCTGGGCTTCTTATAGGCATCTGATTTGCTACTGGGTGGGAGAACAGAATGCTGGACTTTGATGACCCAGCAGGGTTATGTTCTTATATAATTAACTAAAACTCACTACCACACTAGCTTTGATGGTGGTTGCTAAGTTGAGTCCACATGGTCAGAGGCAGTAGACCCGCAAATATCAGGTGTTGGGATGAACAACAATGAAAGACTGCCTTGCTTATGAGCTTCTTAGAAGCATCTGGCTAGACACAGTTAGATGCAAAATGCTGGACATGCAACACCCTTCAGTAAGGTAATTCTTATGTTTATATATATAATACAACAAAGTAAATATTTATGACACACTTAAATAGGGTTAAATAAAATTTACCCTGTTTTATTTTAAAACAACTCTCAGACATCAAGTGGAGTATTGATTAAGCAGTAACTTACCACAGTTTTCCTGAGGTCTTCGATATGTGCAGGATTCACATTAAAACTATGGAAGCAAACAAAATTATATAATAAATTCCTTTGTTCATATACAGGTAGAACAGAGTCACCTTCAATTCCCACCGGTAGCCTTATCACTCACAAAATAACAACATACAGTATAATGTTACCATCAGGCTTGCCCCATCATTGTCACTGAGGAAGTCTTTATTCATTACAATCATACTTGGGAACAGAAGGAAGGCAGAAGTGTGCTAGAGAGTTAAAATGCTAGTGAAAGCCACATGTAATCCAGCTGTTAACTTAAAGAGACCCAGTGGTGGGTGTACCATTTTGTGATTCCTCCTCCAACCTCAGTGACCCCGCCTGCCACATTTGCAAACTATTGTTTGCAAGGCACTAAGTAATGACTTGCTACTGTTACATGGCAAATATGTCCAAAACAAAACATTAATTATCCATGATTCAATCCTGCAAAAGGAAGCTGGCACAATTTATATTACTGAGATCTGTGTGGAAGAGCTAGGACTAAATTTCTCCTAACTGTGCCTGATAAGTAGGGGGACTGGTTTGCTACGATCTATAAAGATTTGATCTCCCGTTCCAGACTTGACAGTCAGGACTGAGGACTCTGTTAGAGTACATCCACCACATTGCCCAATAGTTTCCCTGCATGAGCTGACAGAGGTGGCATGTATCTGGTTTGGTGTTGAGGACTCCCATGATATAGACTCTGAAGGACTTCAACATCCTTGCCAAAGCTGCCAAAGTCAGCACGACAACTATGCGGCAGTCCCAGTGTGTCATCAATCCAACAGAATGACACAAGAAAAAATGGTTATTTTCAAGCCTACTCTTGTGTCAGTGAAGAAGTAATCCTTCCCAGCCTTCTTCAAAGCACCATCCAACAGGGGTGTTCTGAAACTCATTCAACAAAATTTAATACACCCATGGGCTTGGCTGAAATGCCAATGATGAAGGAAGAAGAAGAAGAAGGGAAAAAAATGTTTTAGCAAGCTCTTCAGGACACCAATGAGGCAAGGCCTACCCTAAAGTGTAGGAGTCTGTCATTGGAGGAGACAATTAACAAGCTGACCTTCATTCCTACTGTGTAGGAGGGGCAATCATGAAGGATGAAAAATTTATCCCCTCCACTTACCAGAAAAAGGGATTTATGAATCAATATTATATTATTATTATTATTATTATTAAACTGTACTGACTCCACCAAGGGTTGCATTTTTAAATTCAATGCATCATCAACTCTAAATTGCAAGAAATAGTTTCTTAAGAGCTAGCAAACAAGGAACAGTAGATAATTTTTCCTAGTTCTCTCAGAATGACTATGGGAAAATTCACAGGGACAACTCTAAATATAAAAGCCTTAAGATATGTTTTGGCACCTCAGATACACTCCTTGGTATAATTACCACTATCTCTGTATTGCTATTAATTGTGCAACTGCAATAATTATAAGATGACTTAGATGCCATTTTGAATCTCAAAAATAAAAATGCCCTCGTGGAACATAATTTTCTAAAGCAGTTTATACAAGAAACAAAAAGTTGTATTTATGAAAGGCAAGGTTTTAATTGTACAATTTTTTAAAAAATAAGAGTTGCTAGGATCAAAAGATTATAAATTTAATTGTCACAGATTAAAAGCCCCTACAGTTTGGTATGTGTTAGTAGATCCATTTCAACATTTGCTGTTCAAATATCTAAATAATTTGTGTGTCCATGACATTCATTTGACTTTGTAGTTAAAGATCTGAAAATCAAGATTATTTATTGCCAATTCTTAAAACCAATACATTTTAACCCTTTTGTAAGGAGGCTATTGGAACAGCCTCAGTATGACCAAGGTAGAATAGAGAGGGACTATTACTTCCCTTGATTGGGACACTATACTTCTTTTCAAGCAGTCTAGAATAGCATTAGTGGGGGGGGGGTTTGGGGGGGTTGTTTTTTTGCTGCTCCTGCAGCACACTGGGTACTCATGTTAAGCTTGTGGTTTACTAAGTCCCCCTATATTCTTTTCACATATACTACTGGCAATCCAGGTGTTCCCCATCTTATATTTTGCAGCTGGTTCTTCTTGCCTAAGTGTAGAACCTTACATTTGTCCCAACTGAAATTCATTTTGTTAGTTCTCTAAACTGTTAAGGTAATCCTGAATTCCAATTCTGTCTTCTACGGCATTAGCTAGTTTGGTGTCATCCCAGTTTGGTGTCACCTGCAAATTTGATGAGCATCTCCTCAATACCTTCATCCAAGTAAATAATAAAGACACGGAACAACAGTGGGCCCAGGAGAGAACCCTGCAGCACTCCACTTGCCACTTTTCTCAGGGATGACAAGAAACCATTAGTGAGCACTCTTTGGGTTCGGTCAACCTGCTACAAATCCACCTAACAGTTACCTTGTCCAACCCACATTTTACCAGCTTCTTGGAAAGAATATGATGGGGGACTTTGTCAGAAGCAGTACTGAAATCAAGATATAGTACGTCCACAGCATTCCCCTGATCTACCAGGTTTGTAACTCTATCAAAAAAGAAAATGAGATTCGTCTGGCATGATTTGTTTTTGAGAAACCCATGCTGGGTCTTAGTAATCATAGCATCTTTTTCTAAGTGCTCACAGACTGATTGTTGAATTATCTGTTCTAGGACCTTTCCTGATACTGACGTGAAGCTGACTGGTTGGTAGTTACCTGGGTCCTCTTTTTTCCCCTTTTGAAGATGGGAACAACATTTCCCCACCTCCAGTCCAGGAATTCTCATCAAGCCCTGGAGATGTGAATTCATTTAAAGCAGCTAGGTGTTCCCTTAACACCTCTTTCCCTATCTTTGGGCTGCAGCTCTCTCCTTGCATCATTTATTCTGTTGGGCACTGCTTTCCTTCAGAGTGAAGACAGAGGCAAAATAGGCGTTCAGCAGTTCTGCCTTCTTGACCCAATAGCATTTCTCCATCATCTCTATGCAAGGGACCTACTGCTTGCTTGTTCTTCCTCTTGCTTCAAACATAGTTAAAGAAACCTTTTTAATTATCTTAACCTCCCTTGCAAGCCTGAGTTCATTCAGGGATTTGGCCCTCCTTACCTTCTCCCTGCAGCTGTTGGCATCTCTTTATGATTTCTCCTTTCTTCCATTTCTTATATATGCACTGCTTACATCTCAGATCATCTGTAAGCTCCTTATGCAGCCACAGCAGTTTCTTTAGGTGCCTCCCACTTTTCTTTCTTGCTGGAACTGTCTACCATTGTGCCTTCAATATTTCAGCCTTTTGAAAGTCCAGAGTGCATATCCAACTTCACTCAGCTTTCCCTTGCCTGTGGTATTTACCTCTCCTACAATTTTTACCCATATACTGTAAGTAACCCAGGGATTCAGAGTGCAGTGTCATCAATATGCAGATGACACCTTACTCTCTCTCTTTCCATTCCATCTGAAACAGGGGAGACATATCCATTTCATCTGGCTTCTGGGTTCCTGTTCATTATGACTTCTGTTTGGCTAGTTCATAATTGAACTGCAAATTGGATAATTCTGTAATTTTACAGTTGTTGTTTTTTGTATTTTAAAACCAAGGGACACTTTGTAATTAACTTCACTCAAATATAACACACCCACACCATTTTTGTGCTTTTCCAGTACTTCTCTAGTATCTACCAATATTCAGGGTTATCAAACACACACACACTCTCTCTCTCACACAGAGAGAGTAAAAAATAGTTCATGAAAAGTGAAAAGAACCACACTTTGCAAATATGGAAAAACAGTAAGTCTCAAGACAGAAAATAATGGAACTATTAAGACTGTTTGAAACTTTACAAATAGCTGTATTGTCAACAAGATGCATTCCAAGTTAATGCCCAACACCCTAAAGCCATCAAGCCTGAACATTAAAGCTCATCAGCGTGCAGAAGAATGAAAATTCACAGATGAGGCAAATAATGTTGCAGCTGAGACTGACAGACAAGAAAGCAGAAAGATAAACATAACAGATGGAGATTACTTAAAATATTGAATTTTTTCCTTAAGCTGTGATTTTTTTAAAAAAAATGTTTGAAGTAGCAAAAGAACATTTCAAAACATAAGCTGTAAATATAGATTACAAGATACAAGTCAAACCTGCTTTGCTTCTATTTGCCATGATACAGAAGACTAAAAAAAATGTCAATCTGCTCAAAATCACTTTAAAATTTTGCTATTTTCATTCTTGTCTTCAGAATGTTAGTTTTGCCTGTAATTAGTTCCTTTTTCAGGAGTTAGAAGATCTTTTAATCAATTAGTGTCTTTCCTAGGGCAATTTACTAGGAAACAAAAGTTGAAAAACACAATAATCACTTTCTAATAAACACATTAACTTTTTTTTAAAAAAAAACTTTATTGCATTATGAAGTATATGTACTTCATCAGTTCATATTGGCAGATTTACAAAACGCTACTCTGGTAATCTAGGAATCATTTATATTACTGCAAAAAGAGGTTTAAAAAAGGAAGAGCAATTTATGATTACTATTTTTTTTAAAAAAATCACCAATAAATAAAAGCACCATTTTACTTCAAAAGGAAGAAGGGTCACCCTTCTGACTAAACTAACATGCAGCATATATATATGTTACTTTGTGACACAATTATCTCAGTTTTCTGTTCCGCTGTTCCCAAAATGCAACAAACTCCAGATGTGATCTGGGGTTAATCAATCTCACTTTAACGGGTACATCCCTAGCAGTACCATCTTAAATCATTTATTTCATTGGGATTCATGCCACAGTAACTCTTTGACAGGACTGTTGTGAGGCTGCCTTTGACGACTTCTTGGAAACAAAATACAGGTGCTAGATTACTGATTGGGACTGTTCCCAAGCACACTTCAACATGCTGGTTGTTACCCTTTGAAACGCTAAACAGCTTGCAGCCTGGCTACTTGACTCTCCCTCTAAATGACTGAAAATGTCCCAAGCATTAAACCATCAATTTTGGTCTTGGTCAGCATCTGGATAGATGATCACCTGAGAACCATGTGAATGCCACTTCACGTTCCACGATGGAAAAAAAGCAGGATATAAATGAAAGTAAACCAAAAAATGTTATTTCACCCGTACACACATAAGCCTGCCTAAACCCTCTCACGTTCTTCTCTCGAGTCTCTCTGCTAGTTGAGGGACTTCTCAGTTGAGTCCCTCTTGGATATGGAATGCCCTCTTCAGAGAAGCTTGCCTGGAATTAACTTTAATGTCTTTTCAACACCAGCCCAAGACTTTAATTACCTGCGCATTCTGTTATGTTTTTATAGGAGGTTTTAGAACTGTTTTATAATGTCACTAGGTTTTTGTGAATTTTAATTTTAATAAATTTATTAAAACTCTGTTTTACGAAGTACAGCTGGCTCATCTTCTGTGAAAGAATATAACCAGAAGGAAGGAGAAGGTGATGTGCTAAGCAACAGCCTGTACTAATGTCTGGGAAATAACTACCAAATGAACTTACTTTTCTAGAAATGCATGAAAAGGTGGCAAGAGATACCAAAGAGACAAAGATTACAACTTCCACAAGAGGCTGAACTTGGTGGAACAGAAGCCAAATACATGATAACGCTACATGTGAATAAAGCTACAGATCAGGTAAAGCTGGAATATAGCTACTCCAGAAATAGCTTTTAAGCAACAAGTTTAATACAGAATATTTGAAAAATGTTACAGAAAGGTCATACTGACACCTGACTGTTCTGGAGTCAGATATTTAGAAAGCTTCCTTCCCCAACTTCAAAGGAGTCACGGTAAAATAAGAACTTTTCAGTAGAGGAGAAGTGCTCATATATTTATTTTATTTTTATTTATTTGGGGACACAAGAGGGACATAGCTTAGATGGTTATATAAGCATGTTAGCCCTATTGCTGGGATGCAATCCAGTGGTCCCTGGAAGGGCATTCCAGGGGCAGAGGATAAATCAGATTTGCCACCTGATGTTGAAGACAGAGATTTAATGTTGGAAAGGCCAATCCAATGTCAGAGACTCCTTCACCAACACCTCAACACAACCAACCTTCTACCTACTCGTATAAAAATAACAATAAAGATGATAATGATATAACTGTTCTCATTGGCCCAGTTATTATCAATTTATGCTGCCAAAGGTAGAGTGAAACAAAAATGAGTGACAATGACAAAACTGTCCAGTGTGCATGTTATTTACAGCCCCATACTTATGTAAGTGGGTACAGTCTTGGAGCCTAAGAACTTAATAGGAGTAGATAAAACTGCACTACTAAACTCACAACCATCATGAGTGCTAGTTTCAAGAAAGACCCAAAAAGGGAAATATTTAAAAGATGTTCCCTCTAGAGCTTAACAGGGAAAGCATGCAAAAATATATAGGGATGCAAAGGGATGCAAGGCCCGGTTCCAAGAATAAACAATATTCTTATTTAGTTGCAAAGTAATATGGTTTAGTGCTCAGATTTTCACCATCATTTAACGAAATATGACATGTCAATTGGAAACTTGATTAAAACTGATGATTCCAAATGACATTTTTTCTGATTTAAATTAATGATTTAATTTTAAGTTGATCTACCCTGTCTAGACATAAAGGTAAAGGTAAAGGTACCCCTGCCCGTACGGGCCAGTCGTGTCCGACTCTAGGGTTGTGCGCCCATCTCACTTAAGAGGCCAGGGGCCAGCGCTGTCCGGAGACACTTCCGGGTCACGTGGCCAGCGTGACTAAGCTGCTCTGGCGAGCCAGACCAGCACAGCACACGGAAACGCCGTTTACCTTCCCGCTATAAAGCGGTACCTATTTATCTACTTGCACTTAGGGGTGCTTTCGAACTGCTAGGTGGGCAGGAGCTGGGACCGAAAGACGGGAGCTCGCCCCACCGCGGGGATTCGAACCGCCGACCATGCGATCGGCAAGTCCTAGGCACTGAGGTTTTACCCACAGCGCCACCCACGTCCCTTTTACCCTGTCTAGACATAAATCCCATTTATTTCAGTGAAACTATGAGTTCCACCTAGAACCCTCTTTCAGTTAGGGATGATCACTTTCTAGGTGGGTTGGGGCACAAACGTCCTTCAGTGCTGCCCCCATTTCAGCTGATACCCACTTCTAGGGGTGTCAACTTGAACAAACTATTGGGGGGGGGAGGTCAGTCCCGCCCTGCATAATCGATCACAAGATGCAGTGCACACACACCATTTGAACGGTAATGCCCATCAACTTTGGGGGGGCCCTGGTCCCCTCAAATATTTTACTGGGAGGAGCCAAAGGGACCTTGGCCCCTATAAGCTGGCTCCTATGCCCACTGCTAAAGGGTCTTGAATGTTGCCTGGAAAAGGATCCGTTTCCTAAATCTTACAGGAAAGGGCTGCCCCTCTGGGATACAACCTTTTATGTATCCCAAAACCAGCACAGAATAAAGGTATTACCTATTGTGGATGGACAAAGGGCAACAAATCTCTTCAGCCTAATCCCACCACCAACATTCAAGTGACGTCTACACCAACTTTGGCACCTTCAGTTCTTGCTGCTATCTAAGAGTGAATTGTGTCTCATTCAAAGATAAATTACCTCATTAAAAGTACTATTTTCTTAATATGCCATTTTCATTTTTCTCTTTTCTCCCTAGTAATCACTGTAAAGGGCACTACATTTATTGCCAATTTTTAAATGAAATTTCGATCTTAAAAGGGTCCTCACGGGTGGGTGGGTGTTGCTATTACCCAGACTGTTATATTGCAGAAATGTAATCTAAGGAGTTTATATATAATAAAAAAATACTAATTAGACACCTCACTGAGACACCTATCTATTCACATTCTCAAATCTGGCATTTGATCATGCTAGTAACAACCTGTCCCCTTTAACTACTGGACTATTTGTTACCCTGTGTCCAGTGCCTAAGAGCTTGTTAATTACCCAAACTCTCTTTCTGTAGGTCTTGTTAATTACCCGTCTCCTGTCTCAAAGGACCTTGTTAATAACTTCCACAATCCCTCTAAAGAGGGCCTAACAACACATTAAAATTAAAGATGCTTTTCTTTTAGCACCTGTCAAGTGCTGTAAATTGAGAAATTTTCACATCAGTGTATTAGCCTACTGTAGCGTAGCTTTAAAAAACAAACATTTTTTTACAGAAATGTTGCACATAGTGCTAGCTATTTTATGGGAAGTTTGTATATTAAGTTGACATTTGTCCTCTGGTATGCTCACTGTACAAGACTGCCATGACAGAGAGCTGCAGATTAACCCCTTGAAAGCCAGTGCAATGAATGATTGCAATTAGACTAATGAAAGCAATCAAACAGCTTGCAAATGCAAACTTTCAAAGATGTGGACTGGGCTTAAAAACAACACAACCCTATTACCACCAAATGCTAACAGGTAGGAGCTACCAGAGCCTAACACAGACTTGTCATTAATGTACAACCTTGTCACCATTGGTGACTAGAAATTGCCTGCTGCCCAAGGTAACTAGGCAATAATTCAGATGCTCTGATGAGCATTTTTAAAATTCTCAACCTGTGGGTCCCCAGATGTTGTTGAACTACAGCTCCCATCAGCCCTAGCTAGCAAGGCCAGAGCTCAGGGATGATGGGAGTTGTAGTCCAACAACATCTGGGGACCCCACAGGTTGAGAACCGCTGCTAGCAGCATGGGGGGGGGGATCAGTCCAACATTTTGTCAGTTGCAAATCCACGTAAGAAGCTTCTTCCTAAAGCTTTTGCAAAGGCCTTTGCTCTTTGAATTCTTTTTGTGCCCCATCAAGACCTAGTAAATTATGACAAAGATTCAGTCGGCTGAATTGTTCACGTTCTCAAAATATAATCCATTTTTAAAAAATTTAGGCTCCAGGCAAATGCATTTTTTCACCCAGGGCCTTTGGAGCTTAATTTTCTGCTTATCTTTCAGTAGGGTAAGCTTAGATCTGTTTTTAAGGTGCATTTTGTAAGTCACCTTTAATTTCCTTTGGGGGGGGAGCAACTAAATATAATAATTAATAATCATAGATAAAGTGTGGAACACATCTACTTTTTACTACTTTTAGTAGCATAAGAAAGACAGTATGTCCATTCAGATCTAATTCCAAAACCATGATTTAATGCTAGCCAGCTCACAAGCTTTGTGTGCATTACTACCTTCTCTGTTTTCATACACTGTAATAGCAAACTACAGTTTGGGGTGGAAGAAATCAGAGTATACATGTGTGAAAGTGGGAGTGACCAAAACATGGGTCAGCATTACATCTCTAGCCTGTTCCTCTAAAAAGGTCCACCCTACAAAGGAGGGACCATTTCAAGGACAATAAGAGGTTTTTCTTATTTAGATTTAATTGACTTAAATCCTGCATTTTTAGCCCTAAGCCTTTTTAAGTAGCTAAAAATGCTAAATAATTATAAAAAAAAACACCACAGTATAAAAAGTTACAATACAACCTTTTTTAAACTAAACAAAAACAAGCCAGTTATTCAATAAAACAGAACTCAAACAATGCAGCCAAAACGCTTTCCTGAATAAAGTTTGTGTGAATCTTCAAAAAACAAAACAAAACTGGGCAATGAATCAGGCAGGCTAGCTTCTCTGGGTGGAAAGCACACTGCAAAATGTGCTTGATCTCTCAGGCACTGTCCAAAACTTTGATAATAAGGATACACTGAACAGGGTCTCATTATTTTAAGGCGGATTTGGGGGCATATTCCTTCAGTGCTCAGAGAATTATATCTAATCAGTTACGGGTAGAATTGGCCTTTGCATGCTGAGCTATGCAAGGCTGTTATTGGGGGAAGGAAAGGATAGAGCTTCCCACACAACAGCTGAGTGAGCTCCTTTATAGCATAGCAGTAGCCATCTGGGGTTAAATATTACTTTTGAAATATACTTCTAATAAGAAAAAAAATGATAACCTTGATGAATTTTTTAAAAAAAGGTTTGCCCAAACTCTGTTTTCATTTTTATAAAACTGACTCCAAGACATCATATCTCAAATACACTAAAGCTTACCTAGAAGATGGCAGCACTTTTGTTGGCTTGAAGCTTGTTGTAAAGGGATTAGTTGAATCAAAATCAAAACTGTCCTGATGATTTTCGCCGAGTGCACTAGGTGATTTCAAATCAGCAGAAGCATCTGATCCTCCATTGCTAAGTCTGTCAGACCGCTTACTATCTTTTTTCCCAGTCACTCTTTCAAAGAGACTAACCTTCTCCTTTTTCTCTTTCTTAATGTCTTTTTTTATTTCAGCAGGTTTTGAAAACAGACCTACGTTTTGGTCCCATGACATGGGGCTTTCCTCGAATGGATTCTTCTGCCTTGGCAGGGTGGCAAACTTCTGAGGCAACGAAGCACTCACATTTTTAAAAGGGTCATTTTGTGCTCCAAAAGCTGAGTCGCTGTCATCAACTGTGCTGTCTGGCTGACTCACTTTAGTTGTATCTGCACTTAACGTCCGTCTGTGCGGAGATTTTACATTTCCTGCAAATCATTTTGTCATTAGTATACAACAAGAGACATCACATCATATTTGGCAATACCCACACAAAAGCTTGCATAACTGCATTTAGAACAGGAAGGGAAACCTGTGGCCCTTTGGGTATTGCTGGACTACAACTCCCATCATCTCTGACCCGGCTGGCTAAGATTTCCCATCCTCATTTCTGAATGTACTCAATTGATCATTATTACAATAATCAGTCAAACTGTTGTTGATTTTTTTAAAAAGGAGGGGCATGATCCACCCAAACACAGGGATGTCCAAGTCCCATTGATTTAGTAAGAGATTTGGGCACATACTTGGTACTCCCAATGAAATAATGTTTCTATATTAAAGATTTATTGTAACATTCTCTATGCACTACAAAAGGTTCTGGAAGGCTGTCATGGTTTAAAAGAAAAGTGGATATGATTGAACTCAAGTTTTTTATAAAATGGCAAAACAATGTGTTATTATTATTAATTTCCTACGCTTCCTTCAAGGAACATAGGGAAATGTAGAGAAAATAGAAAACACAGGCTGGACCAAGATCTCTCTGAGGTATTGACGGTCGAGTGGGAATTTGAATCCAGGACTCCTCGATCCTGGCTTGACACTCTAACTTAGGGGTGGGGAACCTCTGGCCCAGCACTTCTCCCCATTTATTACTATTTATTAGACTTATATACCACCCTTCATTAGGGCTGCGGGTGGCACTGTGGGTTAAACCACAGAGCCTAGGACTTGCCGATCAGAAGGTCGGTGGTTCAAATCCCCGTGACGGGGTGAGCTCCCGCTGCTCAGTCCCTGCTCCTGCCAACCTAGCAGTTCGAAAGCACATCAAAAGTGCAAGTAGATAAATAGGTACCACTCCAGTGGGAAGGTAAACGGCATTTCCGTGTGCTGCTTTGGTTCGACAGAAGTTGCTTAGTCATGCTGGCCACATGACCCGGAAGCTGTACACCGGCTCCCTCGGTCAGTAAAACGAGATGAGCACCGCAACCCCAGAGTCAGCCACGACTGGACCTAATGGTCAGGGGTCCCTTTACCTTTACCTTTTACCACCCTTCATTATAAGATCTCAGGATGGTTCACAAGAGTTAGAATAAGGTAAGAGCACAAACAATTAAAACAGTTAAAACAAAGCAACCAAACTACACTCACCTCCCCCACCCCTGACATCATGTCAGGTGTGAAAAAGGTGGTGATGTGGCTAAAAAGGAACAATCAGGAGCTTAAAGTGAGCTCCCAATTTTTCCAATGAGGGAGCAAGACACCCCACCACAATTAGCTGATGGGTGTGGCAAGTATACCATGCGCCAATAGCACCAAGCAATTTGCACTGAAACTCCTGCTAAAAAAGAATGGGGAAGCTCCATTTTAGCAGTGGTTTCAACACAAAATGTTTGGTGCTACTAGAAGAGCAAAGCCTCTTGTGCTGTGGTTTCCCCAAAACACAAACAACCCATTGGATTATGAGTGCTTGGGAAGCTCTGCACAACAAACTTTGGGAGTGGATGGGGTAACTAATCACATGGCATCATAATGACAGCTACACTGCCTGCCTAAAGATGGACTCTGGGTATGGGGGGGGAGGTCAGATAAGGATCTGGTCCACCAGGCTAAAAAAAAGATTCCTTACCCCTGTGTGCCAACCACAACGCTACACTTGATATATTTACAATTAGCTTCAGTATCTACTTCATGTTTACTATGCTATTAGAGGACAATATTATAACAAGCTCCTAAGACTCAATGAACCACCAGATAAATGTGCAAAATGGGCCAAATGGTCAACACAGTATTATAATCTAGTGTTGCACTGGTCCAACAAGCCAACTTATACCACATCAACAGAATGTAACTTTAATTGGGAACAGACAACGTGAAAAATTAACAATTCTGATGTACAGAGCTCTAAAGTTTCTTGATTTCCCCACGCTTTTCAATCACTAATCTTGTTGTATCTCTGCTGGTTCCTTTTAATGTTTTGATACTGCCAGTAATTATTGTTTTATTGTATTTGTATTTTGTGTTTTATTGTATTGTTCTTTGATGGTATTTTATTTAGCAGCCTGAACATTTTTAACTGAACGGCACGCTGCAGCTTGAGTGGGACCTGGAATTATTTATCTCTCAAGCTTTCCTGAAAACATCACCCACCTGTCAGCTGTTTCCAGAAACCTTTGCACCTAATATTTGGTGATAAGCTGCTTGAACAGGATTGCGGCTGGTACATTACTGATGTGCCCTATTTGCCTTTACCTTACAGTGTAGTCAATATACTCTGCTCTGTGAGCTTTTGCAACCACACATTTCTATAAAGTAAGAGCGAAAAGATAACAGGCTGGAAGCAACGAGCAAGAGTCTGTCAAAGTTTCTTACATCAAGCAGCATCAACAATTTTCACTTACCACTTTCATCCGCAGAACCAACAGACTCAAGCTGACGTCTGAAGAGGTATGCATTGGCAACTGTGCCCGATTTAATTTTTTCCGAAGTCACCTGGGGCCCAGTTAAATCGGACATTGAATGAGCTGAAGATAGTCGCTGAGGTCCCAACAGGAAAGGCTTTTTTGGTTTAGATTTTAACATTATTTCACCTAGGGAAGTTACAGTGTTAGTTTCTGGCATGTGACTGCTTGGAATGATTGCAGAGGATGTATCCAAAAATGTTCCATCAGTCTTCCGACCCTTCATTTTGTCCTTTAGTTTAGCAAATGGAGATTTAGTTTTGTCCTTCATTGAAAGGTCAAACATGCTTGCTGTCATATTGTTCCTCATAAACTGAATATTGACCTTTATTTCTCCTCTGTCTTTAGTTCTCTTTCCTTGTTTGGACTCCAGGCTAAACCACCTTCAAGATAAGATAACAACACACTGTAAGTTGTGTAACATTGTATCAAAAAATGTTTTTTATTTAAACTGCTGCTTTTTTATCTCCCTTTAATCCTATCAGATAAATCATGTAATTGTTAAGAACAAATAATCCAAGAAATAAAAATTGCCTGCAAACAGAGATTTGGGCTGGTGTTTTAAATATATGTATTTCATAATAAGAAAAGCTGCCTTAAATCAGGGCAGATCACCTGTCTACCTAGCCCAGTAAGGTCAATGCTCCCTGGAAGCAATTTCGGGGGGGGGGGTGTTCATCGCATTACCCTATATAGATATGGGTATATGCTCTATAAAGAGCATTTGCATTACCTACTACTTGATCTTTTTTTAACTGGAGATGCCAGGGACTGAAACCAGGACCTTCTGCATGAAAAGCATGAGATCTACCATTCAGCCTCCAGCAAAATTCAGTTAAAATGATGCCCATGTAGACAAATAGGGAAAACAAAAATTCACTTGTCCAGAGCCATGTATTTGTAAAGCTACAAAAAAGAATTAAGACGACTTCTTTTTTAAAACAAACAACCAAATAAACCACCCTATGATACAATTTGATGAAATGTTACTTTATGAACAATTTTTTTTTTCAAATAAACACTGCAGTTGTAAAAAGCCCATAAGAAAATAACTAAATTTGTAATGTGAAAATCAAAAGTGATTAAGACTAATGTATCTTCCATTATGCTTCCTTTAATGCAACACATAAATGAAAGTATCAATGTTCAATTTAGGAAATGATCCTTAAACCAGCCAAAGGCCAGCTGAGGGACTGTAGGAAGTGATATCAAGTGCTGCTTTGCTAATGGAGAGGGAAGTCCGCCAGCACGACGGCACTTGCTGTGCTGGAGTCCCGCTCCCCACGCACCCATGGAAAGCTCAGCAGGCGCAGATGTTCTGCTGCACCAAATGCCAAAACTGGGCTTGTCAGGAGTGGGAAAGAATCCACCGGATCATTTGTGAGTGGTTCTTTCCCTGACATCCTCCCAAAGAGAAGCCTTCAAATAGACCAGCCCGAGAGATGGAACAGTATATTCCCTCCCACTGACTAGAGTTTGCGGGGTGGGGAGAGAAAAAATAATGGGGCAAAAAAGATAATGAAAATCATCCTGCACCTCCGTCTCTGCTGGAGTGAATTGGCAGGGCTCACAAAGTAGTGGTGGCTCTGCCACAGAATCTCACAAGGATTGCCAAATTTGTTCTGCCTGATGCTTACAGAGATTTAAGAGTTTCCCCAAATACAGGGATTAGAAAATATATCAAAATGCCCTCAAAAGTACAGTAGTTCAATGCTTTTGTTTACTCCTGATGTGATACTGATCCAAACCAAATACAAAATGCTTTCCAGTGAGTAATGCCAACCGGGTATAATATGAACCAGGCTGTGCCACTTACTATTCAAATGAGATATCTTATCTCTTAGATTGCTGTAAAAACAATAATAATAATAAATTCCATTCTTTCTGGGAATGGACTGAATGAGGCATCACCCCGATCACCTAACAAACGTGGTACAGACTTATTCATTTCTTAACTCTCTTGACAAGAAGAATGAGAAGAATGAGTTCGCCCAAGCCCTGCAGCAGGTTACGATTTCTCCCCAGGAAGTAACTAGCAAATAGGCCTTACGCCAGCACATATTGCCATGCTCAACTTCTAATCATGAAAGAGGCAATATGAATAGCTCGGGTGTTCTTGGTATAACAAAACTAGGACTGTAAATAAAGCCTTGAAGACCACCACCTGCTCCAAATCTCAACTAGCCGTTCCAATAACCCCTTATTCCTTTTCTTTAAAAAGCTAATGATTTTTCACACTCATGAAAGGGAGAGCCATTCTGGAATAAAAATATTTATGTGCTAAGCTATATTAGCTATTGTTTTAGTTTCTTATATCTTGTGCCAGAATGAAGATATTAAAATATACGACAGAGGCCCTCTCATAACACCACTGCTTCAGGAAACTTTGCTGCCTTTATTTTTAAAGGCATATGTTTGTTTTAAGGTGCAACCACCAGCAACTTAAAAAGTGTTACGTGCAGCAGGCTATTAGTTTGTGGCTTAGTACGTGGTTAAAGTCACTATGGGCTGGCATACACACTTCTCTCTGTTAAAAGAAAGAAAGCCCTGCATGTTGCATGTGCTGAAGCTTTCCTAGAAATTCTAGATCAGCTGGTAGCCTTCATTTTTCTTACAAGAAAAAACACACATGGGGGAATTGCTGACAAGGTTCAGCATTGTGCAGAATATTAAATATCTTTTTTTGTAATACTCTAGTGACTCTGAAGTCTGTCTCTTGGAGAACCATATGTACAGCTGTGTTGGAAGGAGGAAGCTATTAAATATATTAAAAACTAGAAATATTACCAATAAAGACACTTCATCAAATATGTGGATCTCATTTACCCACAAACTAAGCAATGTTCAGGTTACATCAACTTTAAAAAGTCACTTTGGATATAAGGCTCTGGGTCTGCTAAATGCATCTGAAAGCAAAAAAACCACTATTTAATAAAATTTGTATTTATCATCAGTTTTGAAAGAAATCAAAATTATATTGTTAGGTATCAACTTTTGTTTTAAAACTATGGGGTCACAGCTGTGCGTCCTTAATTTTAATTTAAATAACTGAAATTTTACTCTGTATTTCCATAATTGTGTTTTTTTCCAGGCAACACATACACAATTCAGCCATATACCATTTGAAAAAGCAATAGGCTACCTGCCTCCCAGTTGTGCTGGCAAGCTTCTAAACATCACAGTGATAACATTTCCTTAATTTTTCCACCCCTGAACAAAGAGCATCTTCCATCTCTGCAGTGCATTCCTGATAGTAATGTCACACTATTATGTTGTCCTATCTCACAGTTCCGAAATCACTACATACAGAATATTCAATTTCAGTAGTACCTTACTGAAGATATAGTTCTTGTGAACAGCAATATGCAGACTGAAAATGGATATGTATACAGTCATACCTCGGGTTACGAACACTGCAGGTTGCGCATTTTCGGGTTGCGGACCGTGCCAAACCCAGAAGTACCAGAACAGGTTACTTCCGGGATTTGGTGCTCGCGCATGCGCAGAAGACCAAATCACATCACGTGCGTGTGCAGACACGGCGCTGCTGGTTGCGTACATGCCTCCCGCATGGATCATGTTCGCAACCCGAGGTATAACTGTATAGGGAGATTTCTGGGCCAACTCATAGCCCTTTCCATGTTACAAAAGTCAGAACCGGACATTCCAAATAGCAGTTAAAAACAACATGATCTCGCCCCTATTTTCAATGCAAGAGTATTCCAGATCTTGAGTTAGTAACGCTAAAGCCCATATGCTGAAGTCCCTAAAATATGCATAGTCATGGGTCAAGATTGCACTGCCATACACACTCCAGAGCCCGGGATTTCACATTTGCATAGGAAGCTTACTCAAGCAGAGTCTCAAACATATAGATTAGAACTGTGCAAACTGTACACGACAGTATCAAGCAATATGCATTGAAGTTTGGGTCAACGGACACTGGCTTCTCTGTGTACATGTGTACGCATGTGCACATGGCTTCTACGTGTTCTGTGTGTACATCTTACACAAATGTAAAAGCCAATATGCAAGAATCAGAAGTTTGTGGCCAATATTTTGTCCCAATACAACCAACAGGAGACATAGCCTTACTGAAAAGAGAACAGACTGCTTTTTCATTCTTTCCCCCCCCTCTCTTTTCGTCTATTTTGCATGCTATGTGCGCTTCAGCACTAGAAAGTGGAACTTCTTGGATGGGCACTGTATGAGAAGGTGACAAGCAGCCTTGCTGGGTTTTCATTATGCTTGAAATTGCGGGTGGGGGGGGGAAATACTGTATTTTTCGCTCCATAAGACGCACCTTTTTCCTCTTAAAATCTAAGGGGAAATGTCTGTGAGTCTTATGGGGTGAATGTGTGGTCCCTGGGGCTGGGGGGGGGGTACCCGGGCTTCCCCCGCCAGCCCCGAACTGCTCTTTGGGGCTGGTGGTGGGGGAAAGCCAAGCTTCCCCTGCCAGCCCCGACAAGCTCCTGAACAGCTCTGGGGTAGCCCGCGAAGCCTCCGCAGGGCAGCGGGGAGCCTTCATCCCACTGCCCTGGGGAGGCTTCGCGCGGCCATCCCTGGCTTTTGCGGGAGATGGGAGAAGAGACAGAGCGAGGCTCTCTCAATTCCCCCACCTCCCGCAAAAGCCCCCAAGAGCTGCATATTTATTTTCTTGAATTCCCCCCCCCCCAAAAAAAAGTAGGTGCGCCTTACGGTCGGGTGCGTCCTATAGAGTGAAAAATACGGTGCGTGTATGATTGTAGTACCATGGGGAGTATTCAGCCACCAAGAGCAAAGAATAATTTGAAAACACTTTGTTAAAGGTATTTCTTCATGGCACACTCATTAAGGCAAGAAGTGGGAGAACAGCTTGTGAATGGTTTCAAATGATGGCACAGATACTAGCCAAGAGATACTCCTAATACTGATGCAATTGTGGAACAAACGGAACTCCAAACTGCAATGTGAGGAGTACAGCAGTAGGCAGAGGTGCATCACCTTTCTCCAACAACAAAATATTGTTTATCGCTTGGCAAAAGCAATTTCTCTTTAATAAATTCACTTATTGGTGTAAAAGAATAAAAGGCAGGCAGATGCTTCCACAACTACAAGTAACAATTTCACATTTATTTTGTAAAAAACACTTAACTGGAACAGCACTATGACTGCTGCAGTAAGTGTGTACGTACGCTTAGGCATAAATCTTAAATTCACATAAGGTAAAGGTAGAGGGACCCCTGACCATTAGGTCCAGTCGTGGACGACTCCGGGGTTGCGGCGCTCATCTCGCTTTATTGGCCGAGGGAGCTGGCGTACAGCTTCCAGGTTATGTGGCCAGTATGACAAAGCCGCTTCTGGCGAACCAGAGCAGTGCACAGAAACGCCATTTACCTTCCCGCCGGAGCAGTACCTATTTATCTACTTGCACTTTGATGTGCTTTCGAACTGCTAGGTTGGCAGGGGATAGAATTATAGAATCATAGAATTGAAGATAGTAAGGCATCATAAGGGTCATCTAGTCTAATCCGGCAAATGCAAGAATCTCAACTAAAGCCTACATAACAGATGGCCACCCAACCTCTGCTTAAAAACCTCCAATGAAGGAGAGAGTCCATCACCTCCAGAGGGAGGGTGTCCAAGGTGAGGGTATGGAATCAATTTTGTAGCTCCAGAGACACAGCATGGCCCCTGACAGTCCTGCTCCCTTGTGTCACATTCCTCCAGGGGTTCATCTCCTGAATCACTTTCCGCCTGCCACTGAATAGCGCTGCCTTAGAGTAAGTTCCATTGAACTCAATGGAAACCACTTTCAAATGCAAGTGCACAGGAATGCACTACAGAAGTTGCAAAATTGGAATTTACAGTCTCTGACACTGAAGAAGTTCACATACAACAACAACAACAATTTATTATTTATAACCCACCCATCCGGCTGGGTTTCCCCAGCCACTCTGGGCGGCTCCCAACAAGTTAAAAACAGAATAAAACATCAAAAACTTCCCTAAACAGAGCTGCTACAAGACAAGCAGAATAAAAATGCAAATTATAAATATACAGGCAATTCCTGATTTAGGCGCATCCTATATGTGTGCGATCATGCACATGCGCACAGTCTGGAAGTTTTTAGATATTTCTAGCCCACCTTTCCTCCAAGAAGCTCAAGTGTCAAGGTGGGAGTCAGGAACCGGTCAGCAATAACTCACAAGGTGTCAATGAAGTTAATTTTTTACTCAAGGAAACAAAACAGCTCAGGCCTATTGAGCACAGCAACTCTTCCCAGCAGGTCTTGCCCCAATGGGGGAATTGCAACTGAAGGTCTACAGTTCCCTAAGTCTCCTCCTCTCCCAGGTCCTTCCTAAGCAATCTGAGACACCAATGTCTAGTCTGTCTCTGTTCCACCCTCTTCATACCTTTGTGGGTTCTGAGACACCAGCAGGGGACCTGATCACAGTCAAGCTTTACTTGTCAGTTTATTTCAACATGTTTATAAAATGTAGGGGTGCCATATTTCAAAAAGTGAAAATCCAGGCACAAAAGTTGTTGAGTATTGTTGGCAGAGTTGTTGAACTTTTTTTTTTTGCAAGATTTCAAAAGAAAAAGAAGCTTTTAAGCTGTTTTTAAGGAAATTCGACAAAATCTACACTTCTGACATGGGTTGCCATATATATGTTCGGATACTGATTCTGCTGGCCAAATCCCAGCAATGTCCAGGAAATTCTGGATGTCTGGCAACCCTAATACAATGGATCTGGTGATGTTGCAATCAGTGAATCACTTCCCTGTAATGAATTCATTTGCATTTCAGAAACATTTCAGTTTGACTGACTACAAACGACATTTCATTATTTCTTCATCATGACATTCCATTAGTCTTCCATTAACTATTTTTAGCAGTGATCTGTGAATAAGAAACTATTTAATGATCATTTTACCTTATTTTATCTTAGACTTTGAAGTGGTGGACATTTCAACCAGACATTCTATTTTGACATGGTATCAAAATTTGAATAGTAAACATTATGAAACCTTTATGGTTCTCTTGCAATGCTCAAGGCCCAGAACTCTATCCTACAATGAACAGCATTGCAGTTAAGAGTCTTAGACACAATTCACTGCCTATTAAATAATAAATTATATATATAAGCTGTTTTGTAACATGTAACACATGAATGAGGGAGATGTTAAACATATGACAGCATTATGGGGACAGATATGTATTAGCAACAGTTAAGTGCAAAAAAAAACCAACCCTGAAATAGTTAAGACTTCCAAGAATCAAGGGTTAACTAGGAAAACTAGTATCTGAAGAAGTGTGCATGCACACGAAAGCTCATACCAATAACAAACTTAGTTGGTCTCTAAGATGCTACTGGAAGGATTTTTTTTTATTTTGTTTCAACTACAGCAGACCAACACGGATACCTACCTGTAACTAGGAAAACTAGTTATTCTGAGATGTTATACCATCCCAATAAACCAAAAGCTGTATGACCGACAAAAGTAGATACCACACGCTCATATTGCATCTGCCATTATAAATTACAATAACCAAAGGCTTCATTGGGAACAAATTGATTATTGTCCTAAGGGATAATGTAAAAAAGCACAGTACTGTATTGAAGCATGTAACGGTTCAGACATTCATGTGTTATGGAATAACAGAAGAACAACCAAACTTATGAGTGAAAGAACAGAAGACAAAGTGAACCTACAAAACAGAGTAGGCCAAAATGGTGTACAGTATTTTAAAAATAAACCATTTCTTTCAAATGGCTATTCCCAAAATAGCTAACTTCATAGTCTGGAGGTATACCAGTGGGATTTTCTTTCTTCTGCATATCAGATTAGCGTTTTGGTTTCATCCAAAGTGAAACTCCTGCACAGCTTGTTCTGCATCATCCAAATACTTTCTGTTGTCAGGCTAGCGATCCTCAGCCCCCAATTGACTGATGAGACCCTACCTACCATTTGGGAATAATTACTATGTATGACCACACATCAGTAATGAAGTGTGCATGTATAAATTTCAAAATCCTGAAAGGCTAGGTGCCCGCGGGTAAGCACAAAATGGTAATACAGTCACACACCTATTAATACTGCTCTGCATATAAACTGGTTTTTGGAGCATATGGGTAAACCTTAAAGCAAAAAAAGTTCCCAGCATATATAGGAAAATAACACTTACTCAGTTTTCCTTCTTAGTTTGTCCTCAAAGATATCATTCAGATTTATCGCCACTTGTCCCAGAAACTTATCAAGCCCAACAAGTGACCTGTGCATCACTATCAGGCAGAGGACGTATTTCTCAGGATTCCCTTCCATCAGCAATCCGGGCAACTCAAAGGAGGCCTCTTCTTTCCATACAGGATCCAGGGTCTTCTCTGCCACGGAAGTGGAGTATTTCTCCTTTCCCAACTGTATGATTGTGTATGTATCATTAGTGCCACTTTTGCCTTTCGGCTTCAGGTCTCTGGCCTGCAGGACTGTGACCTGCACATGAGTTGGGAACCACTTCTGGGCTTGCTCAGCCAACATACTGTCGGCCGGGGTGGGGGGTCTTAAGCAGCAACAGTGACACAGGTAACCTGTTCTACAGGCAGGTACACTTAATACGAAGGCAGCTCACTTTAGGCTGACAGACCTTTGAGGACATACAGGCACAAGGGTCTCAACTGCTCCTTGGTCAGCCTGCTAACAAGTGGGGCAAGATTCTAGCTTCGATTATGCTCTCAGTATTCATTTGAACTGTTTCCCTCCCCCCCCCCTTTCTAGCATCAGCCCCGTTTCCCTGCACTTGTGTTTAGGGAACAGCTTATATCTTAAGCCCACTGCTCTGACTCTGGCGAACGGGATTTCCACCTGCTACCCCCTTTGCTTTTTTAAAAGTGGCGGGGTGGAGGAGAGGGCAAAACCAGCACTGCAGGATTTAAAGAAGCAGGGAGAAAGTCCCCCAGGGAAACTTCTCTCCCCCTCCCTTCCTAGCAAACACCCTCTGCGCTTCCCCCACAGCCTCGGGAACGAACCCAGCGTCCTAGGAGTGGGGCGGGGAAACCCCAAGAGAGCGGCATTTCAACACAACCATTGGGAGGTGGGCAAAGGGGGCACCTGCTGAGGGAAACCTGCGCCCGCCCGGGCGAGGCTGCGCCAGGCCTGTCTCGCTGCTTCCCCTTGCGGTTCTCTAATGCCTGCCCCCCCCTCACTGAAGCAGCTGGGGGAGCCTAGCCGGGGCAGAGGGAGAGGCAAAGCCGCCGCTTCCCGCCCACGGAGGCGTCGCTTGGGGCGAAGCAGCGGCGCGTCCTACCGCGGGAGCGAGAGGGAGAGACGCCCCGCCGGCCCCTCAGCGCTGCCCGGCCGCCTCCCCTGGGCAGAGGCTGCGAGGCCGCCGGGCCGAAGCCGCCACTTCCGCCTTCCCCATTGTTGCCTTGAGCCGGCGCCGCTGAGTGGGAGAGGACCAGCAGCAGCAGCAGCAGCGCCGCCTCTTTCCCTGGGCGGTCAGAGGGCGGAGGGCAGGGTTCACGCCGCCGCCGCCGCCGCCGCTTCGCCTCTCCTCGTTACTCCCGCTTTGCCCTGCCCAGATCGCAGCTGCCTCCGCGCACGAGGTGCGGTGCTTTTATTTATTTATTCTCCCCCCCAAAAAAAAAATCCTTTCCCAAGGCATACAGAGGAAGGAGGACGGGGCTCCCCGGCAAGCGGAGCATTCCCCGCAAGGCACCGGTGCGCCGAGATTGGGGGCGCGCAGCTGAGCACCCTTTGTAGGACATCTCTCTCTCTCTCTCTCTCTCTCTCTCTCTCTCTGCGCGCGTCTGGTGTGGCGTTTAAAGTCAGCGCTCCCCCCAGGACTGAGAGACCCCAGAGGGGGGGTCTTTTTCTTAACACCGCCGTCGGACGGTGGGGCAGACGCTGGAAGCCTCCCGATGGGTGCCTGGTCCTTTCCAGCCGATCGGTTTTGTACTTATATGCCGCTATCCCGCGACCAGCTGTGTGCCCAAAGCGGCTTACTACACAGCCGACATCCCAGAACAGCAAAACGGAGAACGTTGGAAATGACAGGTGTACAAAAGGCAGAACATGTCGGTAGTTTCGAAATAACTTGAAATTTAGCAAGCACAGAATGCTAATAGTGCTAGCACAGGAATCACACAGTTTTGAGCTTTGATTCGCACAAAATCAACCCTGGTGGTTGAAGTCAATGGGTGATAGTTAAAGCTAGTCATGCTGGGAATAGGTCCACTGAAACTAATGGTCTTAAAAGACCATTGATTTCTACTGGTCTACATTGTGTGTGAACCGATTTGTTTTAACACTCATTATTCAGTATGTTAAAACCATGACCTCTTTTCTGCCACAATAGAGCTTGGCGGTATTCTGCTAAATTTTACTCGGAGTGGATCCACTGAAATTGACATGACATAAGTTAGATCCTTTAATTTCAGTGCATCTACCCCAAGGAAAACGATCTCATTAATTAATTAATTAATTAATTAATTATCTCCTTCAGTGCCAAAGAAACTCTTACTCAATTGCCCATAGATTAAAAATTACATTTCTATGGGTCATGATGGCCTGAGAAACTACAGTGAAAATGAGAGCCAAACCTGAATTGAAAGGTGGAGAAACACCAAAGAGGACTCATAGGGAATGGCCACGATTTAGGTTTATGCAGTGACCATAGTGGAATGACCACAAGAACAATGAAGTAAAAGATCCCCAAAGTAGGAAAACAGCACAAAACAGAACGATGATTCTCAGCATACAGGGAAAAAGTGGAATTAATGTACTGTACTGTTCTGAAGCAGAATTATAGTGCCACAATAATTCCACAAATGGAATAACAGCAATTAAGAATGGTAAATTCAGAGAAAAACTAGTTTTAGTATATTATAATTCCCCAAAATATGCAAGTCCACAAGTTTTAATGATAGTAGCATTTGTACCATATTATGGTTGCTGCATACTCCTTTCTGTCTGCCTTGCTCAGGACCTGAAAAAACGAGATTCAAGCTGAGCTCCAAAACTTTGAATGATTGGTACTGTGTATTACAGGGATTATTCTGGGATAAAAGTGCTGCTAGGAGTGAGATGTTGGTGGCATAATCTTAACTTCTTAACGTTAGGCACAGAAACGGAATTACATTTTCTGGAACAGTATGACCATGGAATGGCAGTCCATAACACAGAATAGAATAATAAAGCCTGCTAATGCGTGTCAGGGTATAGAGAGGCTGGTATGACATTGTACAGAAAACAGGAATGTCACCAGACTAAATCATAGTTGACTAATCTTACCTATTTCATTTAAATGTATTATTGAATTAAAACTGTGTATCTGTATAAAGGCAAAAGCACTGAAGAAGAAGAAAAAACATACTTTGTTTTTATTTAATGGATGTGATGTCACAGCAGACACCATTGTTGGAGAAGTAGTTCTGCTGTGTTAAAGTGAAGGCATAATATTTAAAATATTGCATTTCTTTTCAAGGTTGATCTTTCTTCAACTGATCTAGTGAATACAAGGAACAAAATAATACATCAGTGTTTGTCTCCCCTTTACAGCCTCTCAGGTCTTTTTCTGCAGCCTAAGTATGTCCAAGACCATACCTTGTCATTGCCTCTTAAAGCAACGATGTTATTCCTTAAAGCTATTCAATAAAATAAGCATTTTTAATTGTAAAACCATGGACTCACTGTACTTCAGTTTGGTTCCACAGACCAAACAGTAGAAGTGGCACTTTAAATCATACACCACCTAGTATGTGTGCAATTCATTAATACAGATCGCCAAACACTTTTGTGGCATATGTGCCCTTCATTGCAATAGGATTACCCAAAAATAAGGACAATTCCAGCTGAAACAAATAGATCTTGCTTGCCCAACACTGGGGCTTGGAGGATTTAATCCTTGAAAATCAAGATAGTATTACTATTTTGATACTTCAAAATGAAAATGCAAGAATTTGACTATATTTTTCTCAATCAACAAAACAGCATTAATGTAGTAAACTACCTTTATCCAACCTAAAATGAAGATGAAAAAATAGCCCTATCTTTAAAAGAACCATTGTGCTGTCAATTAATTAAATTGACAGCACACTAATATGCAAGTATTCCAATCCTATACCCACTTCTTATGAATAAGGAGGACTTCTAAGACCACACAAGACTTATTTTTTCTTACTGTTTACTTTATTCTTCATGTTGATAATTTTTGCCTGAAGATAAGCTACATAAACCTCAAACCAATTGCTCTGTTTTTGTGTTTCCATCAACAAATGATCTGTTCAAGGAGGCCTTATCCATTGGTAATTAATTAATTGATTAATTAATTAATTGTATGTCATGTGTCTACAACTGAGATGTAAAATCAACATTAACTAGAATTTACATCCAACAAGAAAATGATTCTCTTTATCTTCCTGTTCCACTTTCACATTCACAATAATAATAATAATAATAATAATAATAATAATAATAATTTATTTATATCCCGCCCTCCCCAGCCGAAGCCGGGCTCAGGACGGCTAACAGCAATAAAACAGTACAGCACAAACAACACTCTAAATTCATTCATTATAAAATTAATTAATTAACAAGCAATACATCCCAGATTAAAATGTGTTCTTGGCATCCAGTTAAGGAAATTATCTAATGATGACAAATAATAATACATATTTCCTCTATGGAGAAAACCTGGAATAAGGAAATACCCACCAAAATAATTTGACATGTATGAATTAGTGGGTAAATATCTGAAAGCAGCCTCACTCAGCTCAAAGATCATGATTTTTCAGGATTTTTTCCTCCATGTCTGGAGCTCATTATGATTTTCAAAGGGGCTCCAGTTTGTAGGAGAGGGCAATTCCTGGCACATCAACTCCAAGACTTGATTCAGCTGCCATTGAAGCTTCTGCACTGGAGATATCCAATAACTTCAGCGTGAGTGGGTTTCCCCTGCCCCCAATATGGGCACAATCAAAAGACATTCAAGCCATCTGTTAATCTCTCTAAACCAGCAGTGTTTCAATTTACTTAACAATATGTATGTATGTGTGTTTGTGTATGTGTGTCTCCAGAGCACAAACATATGTATTTACATATCTGTCTCCATACAAACTTAGATTACTTAGGCATACAAGAGTATCTTCATATTAACAAGACTACTATTTCTGCAATCCTGAAATCACTTCATGTGGAAAAATCCATTGACTTCTATAAATCTAGCCCTATGTTTATGTTTTGGGGGTTGCTGGTTTTCTGCATTGGACTTGAAAATGTATGCAAGGACAACCACATCTGCCTTAGCAATGTTCCTGGGCACAATTTGGTGAAGTAATGGGATTTACTCATCCCAACTGTGTGCCAATCCATAGCATTAGCCTGCAGAATTGTTAAGTGACAAGCTGGTGGCAACAAACAACCTTGAACAACAGGATGAAGGCCCAGGGATTTAAGATCCTTGCAAGGGTTCCCTTCTTCACAATTTACCAACCATGAGCCCTTTGAAAGGTAAGGTTATAGATCAAATGATGAATCTTTAGATACAACTGAACTAGATTACCATGAATGGATTCAGTTTTACAGATTTAGGGGTGTTATGTACTGAGTTGAATAGGATCCAGAATGCAGCAGTCTGATTGGCCCACAGGATCCACCCAATCCAGCTCCAGGTGGAAGGGAATCCGCAACCTGATTGGCCTACAGGAGAATCCTGGAATTAGCCAATCACATGGGGCCCGTTGTGTAAATAATACATATAAGGCAGACATTCTGGGGGAACTCCGTTCCTCCTCACCCCTATGAGCTGAATAAAGAGCATGAAATCCACTCTTGACTCCAAGTATATTTCAAGGATATTTATGAGGACCACTATATTCATTCACTAAGTAGCCCTGCCTCTCTAGTACAACCTAACCAGTTGAATCCAGCAGAGTGGGCTCAGCTGAGCTACTAATTTACCCAGTGGCCCTTCAGTAATTACTATTCAGTGACCGACCTTAATAGTACAACAGCTTTCTTGTATTTACAGCTTTGTTTAAGCAGAATTTGGTCCAGCAGCAACTGTTCAGATAAATCACACAGTATTGGAAACTGCTGCATGGCTTCTGAGCCGTATGCTATTCCAGCTCCTCCCAGGCATGCCCATGTTTTGCCAGATTCTAAGTCTCTCCACGAGTTCAAGTCGCGCCACAGGCACTATGGCAGTTGTTCTATTAGCACAAGCAGTGATGGGGGGGGGAGTGACTTCCCCATTATGGACAATTTTGAAATACTAGTAACACAGCATGAGCAAAAGCAGAATGACCACACATCCTTTAACACAGTATGGTAACAGACAGAGGTTCAGGCCTGCTTTTGATGTTGCACCTATGTGAGTGCAAGCTGAGGGGGCAGAGCGACGCATGAGTCAGAAGGAGATAAAACATCACAGTGCAGCTCCAAACCTACATCTCAACTCCAGCTAATAAGATGGGAGTCAGAGGAGTAGGAAGACACAAGCAGAAATTCACAGGTGTAAGAAACATCTTAAGTTTTCAGCAGACCTAGCATGCTGTTTCCTTAAAAACAACAAACCAGTTTTACGTAGAAGCTTCACAAGAAGTGAATGAGCCAGTTCCTAATTTATTTGCTATTATTTGATTGATTTCACAGAATTCTAGATCTTAATATTTCTAATTATTATTTCAAATACTAATAAGAACTCTTGTGATGTAGTTGCTCAAAAATGGAGAATATACACGTTAGGTATGTAAACTAGGCAAGCATACTGTTGTGTCAGCTAATAGAGTAAGTTAGTGTGTTTTTGGTTTGCTTGGGCTCCTATAGTTCTCTCCTTGTTCTAACTGCTGGGAAAGAAAGGTTGCATTTGAAGGCCTGGCTATGCATTGCTTACTTCCTGAACCCCAACAAAACAAAACACTATAAAATAATAAGAATATATATTCCAACTGTTTCTGTTAGACACAGTCCATTTTTCCCAACACCTGTCTCTGGTAAATTACCATCCTTCTTTTTGTCTTATGAGGAGCTCGGGATGTGTGTTCTATTTATTTATTTATGGTAAGTTAGCCTGTGTGTGTATGCGTATGGACAAGAGTATAGACTTGTCTTCCTTCCATTCCATTCCACTATACAACTGCCCATCCCGATAGCAAATGTTACTGAATGTGTTCTGAGTTGCTACTCTTCTATGCGTAGATCCATTGCATACTGTTTTATCATTCTTACTTTATTGAAAAACAATTAAATATCTTAGAGGGCCGAGGTAAACATCAGCTCAGCTGAACCTGCAACGGTTCTAAAGCTGGCATGTGCATTAGCGAATACCATGTACGATCCTGTGACAATCCTTCAGCAATATGTGACAGAGTGTAAGTGCATTGAAGTAGTGATCCTGGCTCTGAAAACAAGGATCATATATAAAGTACTCAACCCTATTTTCAGTTTTGGAATACTGGGGAGTGCACTGAAACAGAGTCATACAAATGTTGAATGATGAAGTAATTGAGAACGTTGCTGAATCTAAATGAATTGGGTGTGTACAAAGAGAGCATGTTTGGACCATGGTGTGGTTCCAGATAATCTGAGGAATCCCTCCCCCCCGACCCACATACAGTAACAATTCAAATAGAAAAATTCCAACGTAGTATGTTGTGGGGGAAAAATGGTTCTTGAATTTGTACATAAAATGGCTGCTGTGGTCTGGCTGGAGGCAAGTACTATCCCATTCTTTGCCAAGATAAGAATGATTCAGTGTTTCACTCATTCCAAATAGCTTGTTGAGCATCTTCTTTCTGACCCCCAAATCAAAAATGATTGCAAGGGCCATGGGAATTGTCTGAATTTACTTTGGCACTCACAAGTGTTAGAAGAATATTGGAAACAAATCTTGGATATGTTCTCGTCATATGAATATAAATTAGCTTTAGGCAGATTAGTTGGAGATTGAACTGGGAAACTCTAATTGAGGCCAATAAATTGCTACATTAGGGCCAAATCTTTTTGCCATTTGCATTATTATAAATTCTGAGGAACTTTTATTGAAAGTCAGTGTTGGAGTTACCATGGATTTAGGCCAGGGAAATCTGGCCTTTGATTGGTATATGAAGTTTGAGGGATCATAATTTAGTATTAGAAATCCATTCGCCCTTACTAGCCTAGTCTGGAACTTGAAAATGGGCCTAGGTTCAATTCATACAGTACCTTATCGGTTTCCTCGTATGACTAAAATCAGCCTAAATTAAATGGGTGCTGCTTCACCCAAGTGACTAACCAACTGGGTCAGGATCCTGGTGACTCGCACTGCATCCTGATACCATTTGTTGAGGGCCTTGTGTTTGGCAGAAAGGAAAGTTGTATAGCCTGAATAGTCATTTTACAATGGATACAAAAGAGACCGTGCTTCCTGCAGTTGGAGGAAAAGAGCATTAGAATTCACTTTTTTCTTTCTTAAAAGAGTTCTATACTTAATTTGTTGGGGTGAATTTGAGAGCTGCTCTTCTAAACACCCGCATGCCAAATCCTGGATACACTCCACCAGCAACTGCCTTGTCCCAGAAGCAGACATCTATGTATCTGGTCTACTTCTAATAACACGTTTTGTCAGATTCTTCCATCCAACATCCACCTTGGCTTTTACAAATATGTGAGGTGACTGCAAAATAGAGTAGCAATACTTTTATTGCAACAATTAGAAAGGGGAGATACAAACCCTAGCCTGAGTGAGAGATACAATCTGAACTTTCCCATGTGGCTGTCCCCTGTTGATGGCAGTCCAGTCCTTAAAGCATTATTCTTTAATTAAGTGAATAGCTAGACTTAATAGTTTTCTGAAACTATAAGTGTCAGAGATTTATCCTTACACCCAACCCAAATTAATCTTACGTTCATCCAACTGAAATAGTCCAGCTGAATTGGACTAAGAATGTTAAGAAACAAGGAAAATGTCTAGTCAAAGCATTCCTTTTGCTTAAAGTGCCTACTGATTACTTTTTTTTTGTCAGCATGGCACAGAAAATTTACTTAAAACCTTAATTGCTTGCCTTGGAAATTTAGTCCAAGGTTGCAATGCTACGAGCACTTCTTTGTGAGTGCTGGGAGGGGGGCAGTTGTAGCTCAGGCCTGGAGAGAAATTGTGATGATGGAGGGGGATAACTGTAGTAGAGGGTAGTAAAGAATTGCCAGTGGGCTATCCCCCCAATGGAAAGCTCCCAATTGAGGTGTTTGGGGCAGAGACAGAGTGCTGGAAGTCTTGGCTGTTTGGCTCCTCAGCTGTGCCATCCTGGAACTGGAACAGAAAAATGAATGAAAAGCTACCCTCTCCACCATCAGCAGCTTCCATTCTTACTGACAAGAGCCAGTCCTGGTCTTTGCTGACTCCAGCACTCCAACATGAGAAAACAGTTTTGGACTGAGAAACAGGCAATGTCAATACCAGTATCACTGCACACCCACCCACACGCACACCCTCTTCTAATATTAGGGGAAGGGCCTGTAGCTCAGTGGTAGAGCACTTGCTTTGCATACAGGAAGTCCCATGTTCAATTCTTGGCATCTCCAGGTAGGGCCAGGGAAGACAGGTCTGACTCAGCTTCCTATGTTCCTCATATGTGTACATTCGATGACCCTCAACATCTGTAAACCATAACAAAACAAGGCTCCAAGTACACCAGAGGAGGAATTGGCTCTGGATGAAGAAGCATCAAGGATCTTAACCATTTTTCGTTGTACAGAACTTGGACACGCTGTCAGTGCAGCATTCAGGACAAGAACAGTGTTCATCCAATAGGTGAACTCTTTCTCTGTACACTGCCCCACCCTGTCCTTTAATGCTTAGCCGTTTCAGAATGAAAATTCCATACACTTTAAGTCCAGCGTTTTCTTGGCGACCCCCTCAGCCTTTTGCATTCTGCCAGCTTTGAAAGCCAATATATTATTTCCATAAAGAAGGATTGTCAATAGAAAGCTCAGATAGTTAGTGCTTACAGAAATAGAGCCCAAACAGGGACAGTGAGAATCAAGTGGAAGGCACCAGCACATTCAGGGAATTCTTCAGGTTTGCATACATACAAAGCAATTTTCAAAACCACCAATTTTCAACCACTAAAAGCACACAATCCTATATAGGGGGTGGGAAGAACCCCAAAACAACCCAATGAGGACTGAGCATGCTAATTCCTCCTCACTGGACTGTTGAAGAAGGAATAAAGATGAAGGGAAATAGAATGCCCTGCATCTCAAGCTCCAGAGCCTGAACAGGGACACTTCTGTTAGGAGGCAAGGACGCACTGAAATATGTATCATGTATGAGATAATGGCACAAACAAACTTATTCCTCTTGGCTCAAAGTGCACCAAAAGCACCCACTGGATGTTCTATGTACCTTCATACTTTGAAATATGATGCATTCCTTCCTGACTTTCAATTTAAATCAACACTATAAATTGATTTTCATTTAAGAAAGTTTTGAGTTCCCTAGAGACAATCTTTCGTCTTCTTTATATATCATGTTTGTCGTATTTTTTTTACAGTAAGGTATTATATTGGGCAATATATAGGTTTCCTTTGGAGAAACCAATAGATGCTTGAGTTAAAATTTAATTAAAAATATTACCATTGATAGCTCTGCACACTCAAAGTGAAATCCTTTGGATGTGTAGGACCAGAAGTTTATAAATAATAAGACCTGTTTTCAATGGGGCCTATCCCAGAAAATGTGGGCACAGGTTTGCAGCCTTATAATGTCTTCATATAGCTTCTGTGTGCATCAGTGTGCATTGATTTTGTCTTGTTTTGAAATGTAGTTTTTTTATAGTGATATGTAGAATGAGCACAATGGAAGAATAAAATCTATTTGAATAACTTCCAGTGAATAAAGTTTCAAACAGCCTTAGACCAGATTACCTGAATTACTACCTAGATCACAGTGATCATCTGGATAAGCCCTCCTGCCTGTCTCACCATTAACTCCTGATTGTTTAGTTTCTATGTGAACTGTGTGACACCAGGATTTTGGAACACTGTTCCCACTGTAACCAGGCAGGCATCTACAATTTTGATATTTTGTTTCCTGCTGAAAACATTTGTGTTTCACAAATGTTTCTGTTAGAGAATCTGATTCAGTGTTAGTGACTTCTTTTGTATGTTATGCTTACAAAAATCATAAATTTATGTTTACTATACAGCGGAAATGGACTTCAATGTCTGTACACCAATGCGCAAAGCATGGGAAATAAACAAGATGAGCTTGAGCTCTTGGTACAGCAAACTAAATATGACATAATAGGCATCACTGAAACCTGGTGGGATAAGTCCCACGATTGGAATGTAATAATGGAGGGATACAATCTATTTCAGAGAAACAGACCAGACAAGAAAGGAGGAGGAGTGGCGTTATATGTCAGGGATGTGTATACCTGTGAAGAGATCCAAGATTTAGAACCTCAAAGCCAAAGTGAGAGCATTTGGGTCAAAATTAAGGGAGAGAAGAATAACAGTGACCTCATTGTGGGAGTTTACTATAGATCCCCAAGCCAAACGGAGGACATAGATGAGTCCTTCCTGGAACAGATGGCCAAGCATGCAAAAGGAAGAGAGATAGTAGTAATGGGGGACTTCAATTACCCGGATATTTGTTGGATGTCAAACTCAGCCAAGAGCATAAGGTCAAACAGATTCCTCACTGGCCTTGCAGACAACTTCATTGTCCAGAAAGTGGGAGAAGCAACAAGAGGAACAGCCATTTTAGATCTGGTCCTAACCAATGTTGATGACCTGGTTAGTGGGGTAGAAGTGGAAGGATCATTAGGCGCGAGTGATCATGCTCTTCTGAAGTTTACTATACAGCGGAAAGGAGCAGCCAAGCATACTAGGACTCAATTTCTTGACTTTAAGAAAGCCGACTTCATAAAACTTAGGGAAGTGCTGGGTGAGATCCCATGGACAGTAATACTAAAAGGAAAGGGAGTTCATGATGGCTGGGAGTTTGTTAAGAGGAAGATAGTAAAAGCACAACTTCAGGCAATACCAATGAGACGGAAACATGGAAGGTGCCTAAAGAAGCCAGGGTGGCTATCTAAAGAACTTTTAACTGAGTTAAGATTAAAAAAGGATGTGTACAAAAAATGGAAAAGGGGGGAAACCACCAAAGAGGAATTCAAACAAATAGCCAGCACGTGTAGACACAAAGTCAGAAAAGCTAAAGCACAGAATGAACTCAGGCTTGCTAGAGAGGTTAAAAGCAACAAAAAGGCTTTTATGGGTATGTTCGTAGCAAAAGGAAGAACAAAGAAACAGTGGGGTCACTCAGAGGAGAAGATGGTGAAATGCAAACAGGGGACACAGAAAGGGCTGAACTCCTCAATGCCTTCTTTGCCTCAGTCTTCTCCGATAAAGAAAACAATGCCCGACCTGAAGAATTTGGAGCAAATGATTCAGCAGAGGAAACACAGCCCAGAATAACTAAGGAGATAGTACAAGAATACTTGGCTAGTTTAGATGTATTCAAGTCCCCAGGGCCAGATGAACTGCATCCAAGAGTATTAAAAGAACTGGCAGATGTGATCTCAGAACCACCGGCAGTCATCTTTGAGAATTCCAGGAGAACCGGCGAAGTCCCGGCAGACTGGAGGAGGGCAAATGTTGTCCCTATTTTCAAAAAGGGGAAAAGAGAGGACCCAAATAATTACTGCCCAGTCAGTCTGACATCAATACTAGGGAAGATTCTGGAGCAGATCATTAAGCAAACAGTCTGTGAGCACCTAGAAAGGCATGCTGTGATCACCAATAGTCAGCATGGATTTCTGAAAAATAAGTCATGTCAGACTAACCTGATCTTGTTTTTTGACAGAATTACAAGCCTGGTAGATGAAGGGAACGCAGTGGATGTAGCCTACCTTGATTTCAGCAAGGCATTTGACAAGGTGCCCCATGATATTCTTGTAAAGAAGCTGGTAAAATGCGGTCTTGACTATGCTACCACTCAGTGGATTTGTAACTGGCTGATGGACCGAACCCAAAGGGTGCTCATCAATGGTTCCTCTTCATCCTGGAGAAGAGTGACTAGTGGGGTGCCACAGGGTTCTGTCTTGGGCCTGGTCTTATTCAACATCTTTATCAATGACTTGGATGATGGACTCAAGGGCATCCTGATCAAATTTGCAGATGACACCAAACTGAGAGGGGTGGCTAACACCCCAGAGGACAGGATCACACTTCAAAACGACCTTGACAGATTAGAGAACTGGGCCAAAACAAACAAGATGAATTTTAACAGGGAGAATTGTAAAGTATTGCACTTGGGCAAAAAAAATGAGAGGCACAAATACAAGATGGGTGACACCTGGCTTGAGAGCAGTACATGTGAAAAGGGTCTAGGAGTGTTGGTTGACCACAAACTTGACATGAGCCAACAGTGTGACGCGGCAGCTAAAAAAGCCAATGCAATTCTGGGCCGCATCAATAGGAGTATAGCATCTAGATCAAGGGAAGTAATAGTGCCACTGTATTCTGCTCTGGTCAGACCTCACCTGGAGTACTGTGTCCAGTTCTGGGCACCACAGTTCAAGAAGGACACTGACAAACTGGAACGTGTCCAGAGGAGGGCAATCAAAATGGTCAAAGGCCTGGAAACGATGCCTTATGAGGAACGTCTAAGGGAGCTGGGCATGTTTAGCCTGGAGAAGAGGAGGTTAAGGGGTGATATGATAGCCATGTTCAAATATATAAAAGGATGTCACATAGAGGAGGGAGAAAGGTTGTTTTCTGCTGCTCCAGAGAAGCAGACACGGAGCAATGGATCCAAACTACAAGAAAGAAGATTCCACCTAAACATTAGGAAGAACTTCCTGACAGTAAGAGCTGTTTCGACAGTGGAATTTGCTGCCAAGGAGTGTGGTGGCGTCTCCTTCTTTGGAGGTCTTTAAGCAGAGGCTTGACAACCATATGTCAGGAGTGCTCTGATGGTGTTTCCTGCTTGGCAGGGGGTTGGACTCGATGGCCCTTGTGGTCTCTTCCAACTCTATGATTCTATGTTTTAATGATTTGATGGTATGCTGTTATATTTTTTTTACAGGGTGGCTGTTTTTAAATATTCTTATAAAGAAAGGGGGGGAGTAACAATGTGACATATTGTTTATTCAGAATGAAGTGCCAAATTCAGACAGACAGACTCTTTGTGTATCATTAACAAAAGGCTACAATATTTTTAGTACTGTTCTGGATAGTCCGTCCTATGATTTACTTCAGCCTTGTAGTACTTTAAATTTAGGCATTCTGACCCCCGTCTGTATTTTGTTCTCGTTGTAGGTCAAACACCAAAAAGCTTCAGGTTATAAATGACTAGTTCAGCAATCTTGATGGCTTGTTGTTAAGGCAGAAATGTGTGTATGAGAGCTCTCTCTCTCTCTCTCTCTCTCTCTCTCACACACACACACACACACACACACCTACCTTGGTGCCTAGGTTGAAATATTTTCTGCCCCAGTTAAAATACCTTTTTAACCTTCCAGGCTTTCTAAGAGACAAATCATTTTTCTTAGGACTGAATGCTGTTTTAGAATGATTTTATGCCACAAGTGTTGGCTTCATGTGGGTATTTATATTGATATTATACTTTTAATCCCATTTTATTGTTTTTTATAAAAAAAATGTCACCCACCCAGAGGGCATGGATAAAAGGCAGTATCTAAAGTGCCAAAAATAAACCAAGAAAGAAATAAGCAAATAAGGTACCAGTGCCACTAGTCTCCTTATAGTGTGAGGGCATCTCACAGTATTCGAGAATTAAGGGGAAATGGAGTAATTGCTTACAAAAGATTGCATTCCCATGATCCCTTTCATTTATGGAAGCTTTTAATGTTTGATGGACTACTGTATTTTAATATTTTGTTGGAAGCTGCCCAGAGTGGCTCGGGAATTAATAATAATAATAATAATAATAATAATAATAATAATAATAATATTTCTACGCAGGGCTAGTTCACTACCACCTATCGGTGATGTGTCATTTTTAGTTATGGACAGGGGTGGAACTTGGTGGGATCAAGAGGGGGAAGTCTAGGCAGCTCAGAGCTCTCTCCCATTAACCTGGTCCATCAAGATACCCATGTATCTCGTCAGAAGACAGGAAAGAGATTCCAGCTGATGAGGTTCTAATGAACTATGACCTGTAAATAAACCTCAATGAGACCAAATTAAATTCTCAGAGTCTTTCCAAACTGACTGCTTATATTCCCTCCCTTTCATTAGATCAGTTGGAATTACATCCAGCAACTAAACTCCCTGGAAATACTGTTTTAATACTTAACAATCCACCTTCATAGCTTAATACCTATTAACGCACAGATACGCCTCCCCACCCCCACACCCAAAATTAAATAAATTTGATTTGGAAGTTGCTGGGTCCTTGTGTTTGTCATGCAAATTCTCAGTTCTGTTCTTTTTATGATAATGTAAAATAAAGTAGTGTCTTAAGTAACACTATAAATCATTTGCTTTCTATTACACACAGCTGGTTTTGTTACAGTAATGGTTTTGTGTGGGTGCACACTTGCCATGCATTTTAAAGGCATTCTTTTCACATGGCCTGCCTGCAATTGATGTTTGCTCAAATATAAGGAGATAAAGACAGAAGAGTAATTTATTCTAATATATTAACATGTTTTTCCCCAAATGCACCTACCATATAAAGCACTTACTTCTATTTACAAAAACGACTCTCTCCCTCCCTCCCCAACTCTCCCTGACACTGCCTAGAGTTTTCAGCATACTAAAGATCCAGAATGAAAATGAGAACCAGCTGGGGATGTTATATGGGTTTAACTTACTCAAAAGAACACAGGACGAACGGTAAGAATTAAACAAACCACAAATTATTTTGGACTGTCTGGTTTACATTAGAAGTAAACTTTTCACTGCTGGTTGTTGTTTCAAAACTATCGCCTCTATTTTTGATACCCTTCCTTGTGATCTAACACAAACGATGTCCCACTTGTTTAATCCATTGTTAGTCCAGGATTAATTTTTTTATATATATTACACTCATATGCCCTGAAATATTTCTCACTCTGTTTTTTTGGCTTTGAGCCAGTGAGCAATACTGTTTCAAGTGGAATGAAAATGTAATATTAAAAGAAATGTTTCCCTTTGTTGTTGGCACATACCAATTTCACACCTTGAAAAGAATCTAACCACATCAAAAATGGGCTCTGTCTGTTTCCAATACTCGGATGCGGCAGAATGTTAAAGGAAGAAGTGGAGAGTTGTTGGTGGGGGTGGCGGTGGGTATAAATAAGTCAGTGCAGTATAGTGGTTAGAGCAGGCATAGGCAAACTCCAGCCCTCCAGATGTTTGGGACTACAATTCCCATCATCCCTGACCATTGGTCCTGTTAGCTAGGGATGATGGGAATTGTAGTCCCAAACATCTGGAGGGCCGGAGTTTGCCTATGCCTGGGTTAGAGTGTTGGACTAGAACCTGGGAGACGAGGGTTCAAATCCCCATTCAGCCATGAAACTCACTGGATAACGTTGGGCCTGTCACTACCTCTCAGCCTAACCTATCTCACAGGGTTGTTGTGGGGATTAAATGAGGAAGAGATAGAACTATGTTAAAAAGGTAAAAAAGGTAAAGGACCCCTGGATGGTTAAGTCCAGTCAAAGGCAACTATGGGGTACAGCACTCATCTCGCTTTTCAGGCCAAGGGAGCCAGGGTTTATCCACAGACAGCTTTCCCTGTCATGTGCCCAGCATGACTAAACCACTTCTGGCACAACGGAACACCGTGATGGAAACCAGAGCACATGGAAATGGTGTTTGCCTCCCCGCCGCAGCAATACCTATTTATCTACTTGCACTGGTGTGCTTTCAAACTGATAGGTTGGCAGAAAGTGGGACAGAGGAATGAAAGTTCACCCCATTGCGGGTATTTGAACTGCCGACCTTCTGATCAGCAAGCCCAAGAGGCTGAGTACACCCCCTTGAGCTCCTTGGATAAAAGTGGGTGGGGATATAAATGCAATAAAATAGAAAAATAATAAACAAATAAGCCTAAGGCAATAGCACCACTGTATGATCAACTTGTTGTTTTGCATAATGAGTCATTTTAATAAATGTAAACTACTTTAATGAAGAGCAGGGCCTGTCTGAACTACTACTTCAGCCTTCAAGGTTCAACTGGGGTAATAAACCTTTCCTCATTGGTTTCCAGCTTGCAAATAGGCCATCATGTCTACCCATTGTGATGTACAGGATTTAGCCTGCACTGGCATATTTAGGGTGGTTTGTGATACTACTGCAAAAGCTGGATTCTAGGTGTTAGCAGCAAGGATATCACAATTTATTTACAGTAGGCTAGGAATGCTGGAGAAATCCATTCATTCTGAATTCTGATGTCAACTGGTCTTGTTTTGAATTGCAAGTATTGAAATAATGTTCAGTTCCAATTTAACCAATGGCTTTTTTAGTTCCCAAATCTTCTGATACTGCTCTTGGCTCAAACACCACCAAAAAAATAAATACATCAACAACATGTACTTGAAATGTATATTTTGACAGCAAATAACATTTAAAATGTGCATTTTGAGAGAAAGGCCCTTTTAAAAAAATACATGTTTAAATGTGAATTTTCCTGCAGACTTTTAGAGAAAAATTTGCAGGCTAATATAGATGGACACATGACTTGAACATATACTGAAGTGATATTAATGAGAAATATACTTATTCACTTGTCCCTGTTATAGGCAGTAAAGCAATATAGGAAAGATGTGTAAAAGGCCCCCTAATTTCATTAAATTACCAAGTTTTAACTTGTACTGTTCAGATACTAAACTGAAGCAGTATCAGTAGAATAAAGGACCCTCACAATCAGCTATCCCAATCAAACTCATGCTTAAGGCCCATTGAAATCAATGAGGTTTAAATCTGTCACAACTAACTTGGCCTATATATATTACAAGTGAACTCTCTATTTACTGCATTTGCTATTGTTTAAGATAAAACCAATTTGGGAAAGAAACTATTTTCACCATTTTTATGGACGTTTAGTGTTTGTTTACAGATACAGTCATACCTCAGAAGTCAAATGCCTTGCGAGTCAAATGTTTTGACTCCCGAACACCACAAACCTGTTCCAGTTTGCAAATGTTCTTTGGAAGCCACACCTTGGTTTCTGAACGTTTTGGAAGTCGAACAGACTTCTGGAATGGAATCTGTTCAACTTCCTAGCTACCACTGTAGTTGCCCTGGTGATATTATCTTGTACCACAACGAAAGCAGGATGAGTTCCTAATGATTAAACTCCTCCCTTTGATCCAATTAAAAAGGCAGGGAGATTCCTATCTTTTCTATAGCATATCCTTCAATAGATGGCCTAGTGTCAACCCTTCAGAGGAAGTGCAATATTTATTCACCTTCCTGCCAATCTGGGCTTGCATTTCTGAAGATTTGTGTATCATTAGATGTCTGCTCCATATGACTTCAATTGTCTGGATACACTGACTGAGAATGAAAGAGACATACCAGAGATATTAAAATGAATGTAGCTCTCTGAGCTCTGATTCAAGATCACCAGAACCACTGTCCCAAACCTGGTTCTACTCAATGGTTACATTTCATGTACCTCCTGTCTCTACTGCAGCAGCAGCCTTGTCTCTATGGGCTAATGTTTGTGTGGGCTCCCATGCCACAACAAACATGGGTTTTGTGCGTTGCGGTACTATTTAAAGATGGTGGCTGCTTTCGTAACAGCACAGTAACTTAAGAAACCTGGGAGATGTAGATGGTGGCAGTGGCAAGTTTGTGTCAGACGCTGCTGGGATTTGCAGCTTCTCCTTCAGTAAATCACAAGACTGCAGGTGGTTGACCCACGGCCTAAGTCTGCAGGGGAAAGATGGTTGGGGTTGAAAGATCAATGTATGGCGTGGGAGTCTGAAGCCTAAATTGCAAGTCAGTATAATAGACTATATTACTCACATGGCATGGAAGTTGGAAGCTGGCGCCTGAATGCATAATTTTCATGCCTTTTTTGGTGCATGAATGAATAAGTGCTTTAACTTTTCTCACAAACCTGATCCTAGAAAATTTGAAACGAATGTGTGAAATGTTGGTATTGCTGTTTTGTAATTGGGGGAGAGAGAGAGAAAAATCTTCAAATAAAGAAGTTCAAACAAACAGATAAAAATAGGAACCGGGACTGATTGTTTTCCAACACAACTTTGGCCAAAAAAAGAGAGGATGCCTTACTTTCAGAAGCAGTCAGGTGGCTTGTCTGACTGTGCACCAGTGGTCCACAGAGAACCAGCTGAAATCGGTGCAGGCAGCTGTACATGCGCAAGATTTATCTGCTGTCTGTTGCAAGCTGATGGAGTGTCATTATCAGTACCATTATTATTTGCAGAGCAGAAACAATGTTTGGAACTACACAAGCAGAAGAAGGCATGGTCTCTGACCTTTGGAGCAGATCAGCCCAGTAGATCAAATAGATTAACACAGTGAGTTATTAGCCTTAAAAGCCAGGCCTCCAAAAGAATGGATTCTTTTAAAATAAATGTCTCTCCCTATTAGGGAGAGGGCTCTAATGGCATGTGGTTCCTTTTAGCTGTTAACTGCCATCGTGGCATTCTCAGAGGCCTTTTAAAACACCCCACTTTTGTACTGATGTGTTAATGTGCAGACACAGCGATAATGGATCGGATCTATGTAACCTTAAAGTAATTTTTGTCCTTTACACCAGACCCACAGATGTGTCTGGCTTGTGTCTTCCATGCAGCGTGTTGCTCATATATGGACAAAGAGAGGGCAGCAGGCTGTTCCAAGCAGCCTTTGTTTTTCCAGCCTTTGTTGGCCAAATTTAAATTTCTTGTGCATGTATTCAGACCTTGCCCCAGGCCATCCACCTGCCATATTTTTTACAGGTGGAGTATTTATCTCAAGAGCAACCAAATTACCAGATTCACAAAGGGTTGGATGCAACACAGAGAATTGTCTTATCCCAAGGCAGACTATTGATCATCTGTGGATGTCTTGGGTTTCAAGCAGGGGCCTTCTCCAGCCTTACCTGAAGATGCCAGAGGTTAAGCCAGACAGCACGATCTCCATCAATGAACTGCAGCCCTTTCCAAGTTCTTTTTCCTTAGGTCTTTTTTTTTTAAAAAAAAAGGTAAAGGACCGCTGATAGTCCAGTCCAGCTGCGAGCGACTCTGGGGTCGTGGTGCTCATCTCGCTTTACTGGCCGAGGGAGCTGGGGTACAGCTTCCGGGTCATGTGGCCAGTATGACTAAGCCGCTTCTGGCGAACCAGAGCAGTGCACAGAAATGCCTTTTACCTTCCCGCTGGAGTGGTACCTATTTATCTACTTGCACTTTGACGTGCTTTCGAACTGCTAGGTTGGCAGGATCTGGGACCGAGCAGTGGGAGCTCACCCTGTCGCGGGGATTCGAACCGCCCACCTTCCAATTGGCAAGCCCTAGGCTCAGTGTTTTACACTACAGCGCCACCCGCATCCCCTAGGTCTTATTTACTTCAATGATATTTAAAGTACTCGTGATGACTACTTCTTCACATTAATTTGAACAGCCTACATGCAAGTATATCATAATTTGGGTTGGACACAAGCCACAGTGACCATTCTGTATCTTGTGACTTAAATGATTCCAAAATATAGTTTGTAATCATTGTGGAAAGCAGTTTTTAAAAAATACTTGATACTAGATTAGAGCTATAATATCTGTTAAAAATGATCAAAACTGCATGGACACCATTATCCAGACCTTCTCTATATGAATATATCAGTCACTAGAGCACAATGTGTTCTCCAAGTAGATTTTATATATCTACAATATCTATATTCGTAGCTACACAATACATGCAAAGCTGATACCATACTTTTCTGCTGGACATAGCTCCTTCATGTGTGTGTGCCTCCATTAGGTGGTTTGTAAATTTTCTATTTCTGGTGAATGGGGCTTTCTACAGGCAAGAGCAAATCTTCATTGTCAAACCTGCTTGAGAGAATCGTAATTTTCTATAATCAAGTTAAGGTCATTTAGGGGTACATTAAAGAGGCTTTAGATGGGAGCTGTAGGTATTAAGAATACATTTAGCACTTAGCCTTCTCAATTCCAAGGGATTTATGTACACTTGCATTGTGCCCACTGGATCGAGGCTTGCAGCAGAGGGAAGAAGTGAAGCTTTTCTTAGGCTGTGCCATTTCAGGCCACAGGAAAGAGCGTACATGCCTGAATTCTTCTCCTGTAGCTCACTAGGGCAGGGAGAAGGGTTCAACATTGCTATCTTCCTGCTGTGCTGCTTTTCCCAAGGGGGCATTCAAACATGTCCACCTATGACGCAAAATGGTACAGTCCAGAACCACTTCATAAAGAAGGCTTCCACTTTCTTTGTCGAGGTGGTACACCTCTGAAAGCCAGTACTGCTGTGCTCAGGTCCACTGTGAGAACAAGATGCTAGGTGGGCCATTGGCTTGAACTAGCAGGTTCTTCCTATATCCTTATCTCAGTATCTGAAGGACAACCTCCCACTTTAACCGACTCCTTCCAAAACTGAAATCCTCTAGCAGGCACAAATAGCTTGAACCTTGTTGATAGAAAGAAAATGACTACATCAAGGTTGCTGTCCTATCTTTAGTAGCCCGATACCTTCTGCACATTTTTAAGCCCTTTACCTGACTACTAGTCAAATTTAAAGTATTCTCCAGCTCAACTACCTAATAAGGATTTAATTTGACAATTTGTAGATGGTATTCTTGTATTACCCTCTTAGACCTTAATAATAGTTTGTTTTCCCCCTTTAGTGGAACATTAAAACATTAAAGGCCATAAATTCCACAGTCACCTGTATCCATTTATTTCTAATTTATTATGGAACATATCATAAAACTTTGCATGACATATAGGCCTCTTCATAACTATAAATCTTTTTTCAAATGTTTAGATAACTTATGCTTAAGTTCAAGAAAAGACCTCTAGGAGCAAACATTTAATACATCTATTTATTATGCAATAATAGGTTAGCCATGCTGAGTGCAGTATGAAATATTAATCTGCATTCTGATTATTTATCACATGAAGCTCCCATTAAGACAAATTAGAGTCTTCCAAAGAGATAAAGAAGAGAGAGAGAGAGAAAAAGCCAAGTTATGTGTCATATTCTGCTTGGTTAAATGCAGTGAGAGCATTTAAACAATTGACCTTCTATTTGAGTCACTAGGAACATGACATTTCACAGTGCAATACACATTTATGCAGTTCAGTAGGACATGCCTCCAAAAAGTGTGTATAGTATTGCAGTCTTAGTTCTCTTCACTACCTACCAGGATAAGTAAGGTTGTAATTCTGTGCACACATACCTTGGAGTAAGCCCCATTGAACTCAGTAGGATTTACTTCCGAGGAGACATGCACAATAAGCCAATAAATCATTTGAAACCCCGATTGTCCTGTGGGGAATACACTACCAGAGCAAGCTAAACTGGGTAAGCAGGAACAGAGTCCTATACAGTATATCTAGCCTTATCCTTTTGCTAACTAGGGCAAAAATTGAGGTGGTTACATTACTGCCAAGAGCCAACTGGTCCTGCCATTAGGAAGAATGAGATAATTGCTTCAGGTGATAGATTTTAATTCTCATTTTATTTATAATTCTTATATCACACGTTATAAACTTGAGAGGCTTACAAAAAAAAAATTCTCGTAATAAAAATGATGTCCAAGAAATGTCTCTATAGTGGCAGGATTATTCAGCTGGCATTTCCTCCTGCCTTCAATCTCTGTCTTACTTGTTGCCGTCCTCTGAAGCAAGAGTGGTGGACTGAGAATTATAGAATTGTAGAGCTGGAAGGGACCGTGAGGATGAGCTGGTTCTCGTTCAACCCATGATGGAGGCATGTAAGTTTCCAGTTGCCATTGAGGTCCTCTGGGGGCAAAGCTATGTCTGTTGCTCAATCCATAATGGAAGCAAGACTTTCTTTACTGGAAGCCAGTGTTGGAATTTGGAGTGGTCTTTGTGATGGAAGCGCTTTGCTACCCCAAACTGAACCTGACAGAATGCTTTGAACTTGCCATTCCTTGGACTTTGATCATTACTAAAGAGTAGCAAATGTTGAGCTATTTACTGTATTATTATAAGGCTGTTGTATTTTACAGT